GTAAAATTAACTAGGAGTCTAGCAGTATTCAGGTACACAAATTGTGAACAAAAGCATGGCACAATTACAATTAAAGTTTTATATAGTTACAAACAGTGTAATTCTTGTGCCCAAATGATTTACCTGCTTTGAAATGTTCACACAATCACAAGCCCTAAAACACTTGCAATTGACAAACATTTCAATAACTTCACAATTTCATGAGCGCTTTCTCTCCTGGTTAACCATAATCTTGATTCGACATTGCAGATCCTGCAATTTGACTGTTGCAGATGCAAACATTATGATATTGATGCTGAAACATTATAGTGTGCAGCTGTAGATCATAGCGCAGCTACAAAATACTAAATCATTGAAATTTTAAATCTTTAAAGTTTTATACTATACACACTAGGGCCGTTACACTATATATTTTCAGCATTGATGTTGCAATGTGATAATTTGCAATATAGACACTTCGCAAGATTTATGCAATGTTGAGTTTGTATATATTTTTTATCATTCATCTGGTGAAATTGTATTCATATTGCAATATATATCGCAAAATAAAAAATATCCAGGGTATATGCAGGAATCCTAAAGGTAATTTCAATACCTTTTTAAGACTTTTTAAAGACCTTCTCAGAATATTTTAAGACCTCCTCGCCAGTTGGAGTTAAATAAATCAATAGAGCACAACCATGCAACAGAACTCCGATAAGCTCGGAAGAAAAAAAACTTGAAAGAATAAATTATGCATTTGTTTTCAGCGACAGGCTTCAGCCACTGTTTAAACTCGTCTTTCTCCAACCAGGAGTATGCAAACTTCCCATTTTTCCGTACGTTTCGATCTATGGTTTTGCTACGTGTGGAGAGCGTCACATCACCTCCCTGCATTTGTCGCAAATTATGTGAATTCAAACCGCATGGTGAAACTTGGCCGGGCGCGCCCTGGCTCAAACCAATCGCATGGATCGAGCACGCCGTTGTTAATATTAGATGGAAAACAAATATGTTTATGCTTTTTTGTAGTCAAACACTTTGGACAACGATTAAACAAAAGACCTCGTAAAAACACGATTAGGTCTTATAATACTTTTTAAGAGCCTTAATTTTTTCATTATTGATTTCTCAGCTTTTAATACATTTTAAGACCCCGCAGACACCCTGACATCACAATCCTTGATTCGTGCAGCCCGAATACACACATTTTACTAATTTGTCTGCAAATGTTGACAACTTAAAATATGACAATTTATTATGATCTACTGGTATTTTAGACAGTAAGTGCAGATCAGTATAAGAGGATTCATCTTTTACATAACTAAATATGTTACACTGAATAATGGAGGAACATTATTTTACCCACATGATTTTGACAAAAGCGATTTGAAAATTACTTTAAAGCTTTACTTGCACTTTAATATGCTTAATATTAATATTATAACATTAATATGCTTTCTGTATATAAAACAGTCACTTTGTAATTTAATTTGATGCAGGCATGTCTCATCTTTGACCACATAAAAAAAAATAATAATAATAATTGAAAAAAAAATATATAGAATAAATAGAAATTAATCAATAGTAATTGCTCTGCGAAAAAATATAGCTTAAGGAGGCTAATAATGTTGTCCTTAAAATGGTGGTTAAAAAATTTAAAACTGCTTTTATTCTAGCCAAAATAAAACAAACGAGACTTTCTACAGATGAAAAAAAACATTATCAGACATACTGTGAAAATTTCCTTGCTCTGTTAAACATCATTTAGGAAATATTTAAAATAGAAAAGAAAAAGTCAAAGGGGATTTAATATTAACAACTATATACATACATAAACAAACATAGAATATCTAACTTGAATTTCTCATATTGTTTTAATGCAATGGCAGACATTACTGACAAATTATTTTAATTTAAAATAAAGTTATTTTGTAAAATGCTTTGTATATCTATTAACTATAAGATAAAGTATAATAATATTCTTATATTAACAATTGTGAGAAAATAAAATAATATATATATATATATATATATATATATATATATATATATATATATATATATATATATATATATATATATACATATGACAAGGCAACTTAAATTTCTCATGCTGTCCAGAACATCTTTTACAGGCCAATTTGTTCAACTTTAGTTGTTTACATAAAACTGTTGTTGTGTTATAATAAAAACATTACAGAAAACTATTTCAGAGTCAATATTATTAAAACCTATTGCAAAAAGAAAGCAATCTCACTATAAAATAAAAAGTTATTAAAATATCCATTATGTAAAATAACAAGTTTACGTTTAACAATTTATAAATACATATACACAACATATGTGACATTAGATCAAATAAGAAATAAGTGTATAAACTATGAAATGACAGCACTTTGTATCCACATCCCTGGTGTTAACAGATGAAAGGGTACTGTCTCTTTAAGAGAGAGGAGAACCCGCTACAGCTGTCATCCTGCCTTTAAGATCTCACTTCTACAAGGTTAATGACCATTCAATGTGCTTGTCCTTCAGTAAAGCGTCTAAATGAAAGGTTTAACGTTACAAACACTTTCAATTGTGTAACTATTATGTTTAGTCGATGCTAAGCACCTTCTTTCTCTTTTAAAACATACATTCTGAATCTAAATACTTGATGATCATTGTTATAGCTTATTATGCTTAAACAAATATATTTAGTGTGTAATTATATTCTAATAACTTTATTTTTTCAATAAACAAAATCACAGCAAGCACATCAGTTAATCCCTCTCCAGCTGACATGCTGTTTAGTGGTGGTTACCAAGCAACCAACGTAAATTTACGCACGTGACTTGAAGTTACAAACAATCCATTAAAAACTGCAGACGCGTGTGTAATTTAGGAGCTATTCTTTCAAATTATAACTTTCCTATTGCTATTAAGTTATATATCCACAGTCTCATAGTTAAACAGTTAATTCTTTCCTACCTTTAGGGTCCAGCTCCACGTGGATGATGTTTCCCATGACAGACGTGTTGTGCAAGTTCTGGACAGCATCTTTCGCCGCCTTGACGGTTTCGAAAACAACTTTAGCTATTCCGAGATGTTTTTTGTTCTTCGGATTGTACAATATTTCCACCTCCTCGATGTCGCCGAACTTCTTGCACATGTCGGTGAGGAATCCCTCTCTGACGTTGTCATTGAGTTTGGCGAACGTGACCTCCTTCGGGGGAACACGGCCGACGTAACACTCGTCGATCTGAGGTAAATAAACCAATAATTAGTACAGCTTCATTTCATAATGCACCCACAGTTATATGTAACAACGGCCTCTCATAGTAGTCCCTGAAAACCGTTGGAAATTTGAATTTAAATCAGATGACAGTTGAATAACGTTAGTTTGAAATTTAACCGAAAAAATAAACGTTTAATCCGTTACGTGTGTGTGTGTGTGTGTGTGTGTGTGAAGTGTAGAAAACCCTCAAGACGACTGCACACATGTGTCAAGGGGGGTGTGACTGAACCTTAAATTTAGGAACCGGGAGATCAGTCTCCTTGTACTTAGTCCACAGACGACCGATTCTCGGATCTCGGACGATGTCCACGGGTGACATTCCAAGGCTCTGCAAACAAAAACAAGAACATTTATACAAACTTTACACGAGTGTACTTTAAACGGCTCAGCCGCTGTCAACAGAACTAATGCAGCACGGCTAACTTAAATAAGCTTGTTTAGTTTAACGATGTTAATAGAGTGTTTGGTAAAGCAAGTTTGGCAGCGGTGAAACTCTTTGATGTGTTGTGTCAAGTGTTTACAACGTATTGTATCCATTGAACGCGCGACGATACACGGGGGTCCCGTGCATCCGGTTCTGGTCGTTTTAACGGCTGGTTCCTCTCACCGGCGAGCTGAATTGATGTCCATCGTAGCGGTACACTTTGTGCGAACCCTTTTTCAACGCTGGGTCAATAATCAACTTGTAACTTCTCCAATGATGACTTCGTTTCTCTCCCGAACTGCAGATAGGATGGCTGTTGTCCATTCCGTTCGCCAAACCTAGCGAAGAGATGACAAAAACATAAAGTACTCCTCATGATACTGACATCGCAAGCAGTTTATTTGCACACAAACACTACATTGTAGAAAATGGGGGGTTTGAAGCGGTGCCCGAAACAGACATTACAGAGGAAGGAAAAAAAGAGAGCTTACTTGAACTCTGTCTTCTACCGTGATCTTCATTTAGCTTATTTCTTTCTCCAGGTCTGGACATGTTGTGCCCGATCGAGTAGTTTTATATAAAACGGCTTGATCTTGAACGATTCGCCGATCACATTACATGATTTTAAAGATACTGCCTCCTTTTTGCGAGCCAACACATATTGTGTGCCTCTAGTCTGGGGTTTCTGTCTCTTACAATACACCACTATCTCAACCTTCCAGCACATTCGACACGCGCTTTCAAATTATTATTCTGAAGCGTTGAGAAAACGCAGAATTTTTATACGAGCGTCGATAAATCAAACAAATTGAGTTACATGTGAGAAATGAAAAGAAAGGTGGAATATCTTGCATTTCCAGCAGAAACACGAAGGTTGGGTCCGCGTTGAATCTGCGCGATAGATTTACATGAACGTTAAATACAAGATGGACATGGAGGAGCAACGCTGGGGAAGGTTGTTAAAACTGAATTGGGACACGCGCCGAACGCGCACATAATGTGTTTTAAAAATGAAACGCAGATTTGCATTCGTTCAAACATTTATTTATAAATATGTTTTAGGTGGTGTATATAAATATACGTCTTTAAAAAGAACTTAAGTGACCTTATATAAACAAAACATATAAATGTGTATAATAAAGCTTTTCCGTGTAGCTTATTGTGTTTAAACACCTAATGTTAGGTTTATCTCGTACTAACAGTAGTTGTGATACATTTCTCAATCCGTCCTCAACATTGTTTGATATTCTGCGGTGCTTGGGCAATTGGCTGGTTAACAGCAGTTCTCTCTCTGGCCAATCAGATTGAAGCACCACGGTGGATTCAGCTATTAGAAGCACAGCCTTCAGTTCTTCCTACAGAGAGCAGAAAGAAGGCTGTATGCAGGCGCAGCCATTTTCTCCTACATTGGGACTCAATGGTCAAAATGGGTTTCCTTTGTTCCTAAAGGGATCTAAATCTTGATTTCATCAGCCTTTTATGGACTATTTAATACATACAGTGTTTCTGTTTGCAGGATCTGAGAAGAAGGAAGATGAAATGTTGGATGATATCCCTTTGACATTTTTACACTTTTTTTCTCTTCCTGGAAACCATCTTTGTCCCAGCAAACTAGGTCATGGCACACCCATATAACAGTATTTTATTCTTTAGTCAAATGCTACCGAATAAAAATTTTGTATTTTGATTTTATATTACTAACTAGGATGTTTAGAAAAAGAAAGAAAGAAAAACACATGAAAATTGCCAACTGCTTTTAAGGCCCTGCCTTGCTTAGGGCCAATCATTAATCAATAAGTAAGTTTATCTTTGTTATCTTTGCTTATTTAGCTGCAAAATAAATGTTTTATTGCTATTTAAACCAAGGCATTTTATGGCTGGTTTTTCTATTTTTTTTTTTCAGTGCTCCCTATGTGTGATTTTTAGTTTAAAGCCAAGCTTTGTCTTCAGATACATTCAGTTGCATGCTGTTCTCTTTTAAATCTCCATTTAAATTGATTGCTTCTCACATTTCAGCAAACAAGGCAGGCCAAAGAGAAAAAAGGACGATTGGCCTTTTACAAAAATGCTGAATCACAGGTATGGTTGATAGGGTTTGTGGTTGTTTTAATGCTCATCCTAGTTGCGCCTCACTATTTGTAACCCCACAGCAGAATTTTTATCTAAACACATTTTTTGGAAGAGAAAAAGTACATTTTATATTTAAATAATCATGTGGAATTCACTTCTCTTTCATTGTGTGCAGATTGGGATTGATGTATTCCTGGTTTTACAATGGAATGGAAGTAAATCCCTTTGCTTTTTTTTTAGTAATGTATATCTGACCTTGTGCCAAGGGCAAACCTTCATTTTATAACACTACTAGCCACACAACATCGAACAGAAACTGTTAAATACGACTTTGAACATACATAATTATTAATACACTAGCAGAGATATTTACCTTAACATTTTGTTGAAATAAATCTATCAGGCCTATACGATGGAGAAACGGGAAGGTTTTCATTCCCATCTTCGGATCCTTTAACACACTGGCTTTAAAGATGGGGGGTTGGGTTGCAACGCCTAAAAGGAAGAAAACGACAATAACCATTTTCTGCCGTCTTTTTCGACATAATTCACCATTTAACACACATATCTGCGCAGTCTCCAGCGAGTGGAGCTGATGGAAATCTTGAGGCACTTTTAGATATTGCAATATGCAAACAATCCCTCTCTTTCTCTTCCTGAAGACAGAATGACAAGAGAAATTCACTCGTCCTTCACCACTGAGAGGGATTTCCTTTCTCTTTACGAAGGTAATAGTTTAAACGACCTTATTTCACACACACAAAATTGGGAATGTTTGTTTAAACGTTTTACATTTAAAGTCACATTTGCCTTTAAGTACAATTATTGTTTCCTCACTGTGTATTTTTATTATTTGTTTAAAAAATAGACAGATAAAGGTGTAAAAATTATTATTCTAAACACCTCTCATTGCTGACCCATGTCCAGGCGACCTCAGAAATAGCCTGTTGTTTAATGGCTTGTCTGCTGTTCTCATTTTCAACATGGCGTCTTCACAAGGACATCATTGTGGAAAGGAAAGCTTGCTGCGCCATTTATGGGCGAGGCTGTCAGTCTGTCGGTTTCTACTGACTTTGCCTTTTAATACGTGGCTATCATTGCAAACAAATCGACAAGATGTGCTCGCTCTTTAAGAAAGCAGGATATTGCACAAAAACTCGCATTCATTTCTTGTGCGTAAAGCGCGCCCTCGACGCTAAGCTCTGGAAACCCTGTGGCACAAAGCACACAGCAGTAATCTGAGAGCTTGGACGCCTGCCGCGAAATGACTGCACCCACCTAACCATTTAAGGTCGGAGAAAGAGTCTCAAACACTGTGTGGCATTTCAATCAGCAAGTACAAAGGGAATATCCAGTCCTCTGTGCTCTCTCTCTCGTCCCCCTTTCAAGAACATTCGGCGCAGTTTATTCGCCAGCCATTTCAAAGGAGCATTTGACGTGATGCATGCAGGATTTGCGCACTGCTTATAGCTTTCTCAGATCTTCTGCTGAATTTATCACACTGTTGCAACACATACCGGTATGTGGTATGCAAATCGTCGTGTGTTCGCACAATTTATGGTAGTGTAAATCTTCTCAGTTTATTCGGATATTATTAATTCCCAAGTAAATCATCAGTGGAATTTGATTTTATTATTTTTTAAATCTCTATTTCCCCTTTTTCTGTGCGTTTTGGGGCGACGCCAATTCCAATTTATCAAGCAGAATTGTATTGCGCAAGGAAACGCGCCATCTGTTTTCCGCGGTTAGGATTCACGCTTGGTCTCTGCATGCACACCATTACTATTCTGTCTCTCTGCCATAGTCTAAAGTAGGACTGGTGTCTGAATATGCTAGAAAAGAAGGACTGGAGACGTGGTGACCGAGGCTGAAGTGGGTCATGAGGCCATTTTAGTGCTGTTTAATTAGGAAAATCCTCTTTATTTTCGTATCCTCCGAACGTAAGCTGTTTCTAAGGGCAGGACAGAAGGGCTAAAACCAGATCATCAGTTTATATATTTTAGCTAGTTGCATTTTTTCTCTTTCAACTCTATGTATAGAGATGTGCGCTTTCATTTCTGTTCTGGATAGCTGGAGAGGATCTTCGACATTAATCATAGGCTATAAATCTCATAGATCTTTAAGTAGGCTATATTTTTATTTTATTGGGAACAATTCCCAGCACTATAGCAAAAAAAAAAATACATTTTTTAAAAGTATTCTGTAGGCTTTTTTAAAATAATTTTTAAAACGTTATGGAAACATGTGAAATATTGCTTAATGTATACCATGTCTGTCTTTATTGTCTATTAATGCCATTTTAATGTCAATCCACATGAAATCCGAGGAAAAGCAGCTGATCCATACACTGTTCTCATTTGCATTTCTCACGGTGGGTTTTTCTCTTATTTATTAACTATAATAAATGTGGATTGTAATCTATTTTGTGTAGTATGTATGCTTGCAATAAAATGCTGCACTGACCTGCTTTTATATCGTAGCCTAATAAAGACTTTGTGCTTGCATAAATGATGTCTTGTATTTATTGACAGCTGAGTTTGCTTGTAGCCTTCTACTTTCTTGCATCTTCACCCAGTTAGTCTTTTCCTCGAAGTCACATTTAGTTTTATTATTATTTAGCTGATGTAAAACAACCAAAAGGGCCCATATGGCGAAAAACAGACACGTCCGTTCATCACTGCTGTAGGCCGCATTTGTCCTGTGTTAATGGATTAATGCGCTATTTTGTACCATTATAATTAACTTACGTAGAAAATAAATGGTGGCCTTTGTAAATAATTGAAGCAGTTTCTCTCCGTTACCTGGTTCTGAATCTGTCAGCTGAAGAGTTATGTGACGAGAAGTGATAATATGACGCCTCCTATCTGTGAGGAATGAGAGCAAAACAACATTTTATTTTTCTGGCCTCTGATTGGCTGTGACGCTCTGGGAGAGACGCAAACCGCCACCCATTGGCCACTGGTAAAATAAAAGAAGCTGTTTATTATTTTCACAGATCCCTAGAGGTTTGTCTTTCCTGCCTATAACAGCGCCCTTTTTATTTATTTATGCTTTAATTTTTTCCAAGAAAATCTCATTGAGATGAAAGGAAATCACTACCTAGGGAGTTCTGGCCAAGATGTTTAATACTTTAATAATTTTAAGATATTATATATAGATATATAATCGGCCTCCGAATCGAAATAACAAGATTCAATTCACGCTGCAATAAATGGTTAAAGTTACATTTAGTTCTATCTGGATCTAGATGTTATTTTAAAGAGTTTTTTCTCATAAAAAATATTATATATATATATATATATATATATATATATATATATATATATATATATATATATATATATATAATAAAAAATAAATAAAACAATTAAATCGTTTATAGTTTTTTATTAATTTTATTTAAATTTAAGTTGTTTTACTACATTAAGTAACTCAAATACAAAAAATATGTTGTTTTCTATTGTATTTACTATATATATATATATATATATATATATATATATATATATATATATATATATATATATAGTGTATATATATAGTATTTAGGTTACACTGTAGTAAAATAACTTACATTAAAATAAAATTAATGAATTTTTTTACAAACGTGTTTTAAAAGACAAACAATTAGAAAAAAGAAAAAAAGCCAAAACACAAAATGACTTAAATCGAATAAAAACAGATAAAAATAAACACACACACACACACACATACTGTAGTCAATATTTGGAAGTGGATCATGCTTATAAAAATTGTCAAAAACTACTGAATCCCCATTCTTGCCTTAGGACAATTTTGATAAACTGATTTCATGCACTTCAAATGTTGACTATATGTGAGTGTATATATTTTAATGTCAATCCACAGGAAATGTGTGTGTATGTGTATATGTTTATATATATACACTACAGGTCAAAGGTTTGGGGTCATGTTTGTTTTTTTTTTAAAGAAAATGATTCTGTTTATTAAGGCGGTATTTAATAAATGTAAAAAATATATATTTATTTATTACTTATTGTATGTAGCTTCAAATAAAACTATTAATTTAGTAATTATTACTTTTATTACTATTACCAATAATAATATTAATAATTATTATTAATATTAGAGTGATTTCTGAAGGATCACATGACTGAAGACTGGAGTAATGAAGATGAAAATTCATCTTTAAAATTACTGGAATGAATTATTAAATTATAATCTACTTTTGAGCAGTTATTTTATACTGCAATAACATTTCACAATTTTATGATTTGTGCTGTATTTACATTTAAAAATCCTACTGACCCCAAACTTTTGACCGATGGTGTATATATAATACACAATTAATCAGATAATAGGTTGTCATTTAGTGATTCATTAAAACAAACAAAAATAAATAAAAACTAAATTAAAATGTTAAATTCTCTTATTTAAAATAACACTTGTAAACCTCTTAGTAATACAATTAAATATGTAATTGTCATTAGTTATGCAATGTAAAATAATCTATTTATATATCACTTAATCCCAAGCATCTCAAGCGGTTCAGCTCCACCCTCTGCAGACCGGCGAGAATGTGAAAAATGAAGCTTCTCAAAAGACTGTCTCGATTAGTTTAGGAAGTAAATACAAAGAACTGTAAGTGGGCGTGGTTTCACTCACAAGCCCCGCCTTATCGCGCAGACCAGACCATGTGTAGAAAGACCTCAATTACAGCCGCGCGCTCAGATCTGAAAGTATATGTGAAAACAGTCACATGGTTTAACAAGAAAAAAAAGAGCAAGAGGAGGAGGAAGTGTGGACCGGATGACAGCATGCTTACCTGCCAGACTTTATTCTCCCCAATGAGTTCACCTGACGCTTCTGAGGATTTGGGCACCTGTTGGAGAATCTGACCGGCCGGTGGACATGACACAGAACGGCACTGTAGCCGGTAATGGCACACACGCTGATGCGCTCAAAATCGTGATCGTCGGGGATGGAGGATGCGGGAAAACATCCTTACTTATGGTGTACGCCAAAGGAGACTTTCCTGAGGTGAGATTTTATTTAGATCGTCAATATTACACATGTGGTAAATGTACATGAACTTTGTGTGTGTGTGGAGTACACTTAAAAAATAGCGGGTTGTTGTAAGCCAACGATGGGTCAAATATAGACAAACCCAACCGCTGGGTTAAAAAGTATCATTAAAATTGAATAAAAAAAAAAACACTAACCCAACGTTGGGTTACATGAAATATCCATTATAGAGTGTAGTTTTATTCCTAAAGTCTATTTTAATCATATAGTGATTTAAGCAATATAAATAGTTTACATTACTTAAATAAATACCATTTATTGGCATTCATGCTTCTACAACCTTTGACATTCATTGGAAAATACGTTTTTTAAATTTATTTAAATAAAAAATTAAAAAACATTATTCTGATGATTATTATTTTTTTAGTATCCAAAATGTTTCTCCTGTGGCTTTGAGGTGAACACATTCTTTCTGAACCTTTTTTTTTAAACAGGAAATTAACATTCTTATGCAAATATCAGAACATTCAATCATAAATCATGAAGACAGTAGCACTATAAAGAAATTCTAGGTCATGTCAACCCAATTTAGGGTAATTTAAATAAAGAAAAACCAACTGCTGGGTTATTTTTGCAATTAAATTTACAGCACCAGATATAACCCAAGATTTGGGTTTACCCAAAAAAGAAATACACAAGAGGCACAATTTCTAATTAAATTTCCCTTCTTTTAGGACATTTCTCCACATCACTTACTTTTAATGCTATCGTTTCTTCGAATTTGAAGAGAAGGAAACATTGCAAAATGTACAACAGTTATTTACACAACATCCTCAGCAAGTTTTTCCACTCAGCAGTTTCTGCCTACGCCTTGATTTGCTTCTTGTTAAAACACACACTTTTCATGCATCATCATCATCCATTATGCTTGATGTTTAACAGAAATATGCTCCATCTGTGTTCGACAAATATGTCACCACCGTGTCATACGGAGGGAAGGACATCCAGCTGAATCTCTACGATACAGCAGGTGAGTGTTCGTCCACCCGTCTGCGACACACCTCAGTCTGCATTGTCTTCAGTGACACGCCTCATATGCCAAGTATTTTAGGCAGGAATGTTGAATGCCAAATGGGTGTGAGGCCATTAGTAATATTTTTCATAGCTGTCATGGTTGCGGGGTGTTTGATCATTAAGTGAAGATGAAGAGCATTACGAGTTCAGTTTGACACGAAGGTTTTTTCCTTACAATGATTCCTTATCAGAGCATTTGGTTGAAGTAAATAACTTGTTGAAATATTGATATGCTCAGTAGCATACACTTTAAACAATGCTGGGTTGTCAAACGTAGACAAATAATACATTGGGTTAATTTTTTAAATTCAATTTTCAGTTAAACGTTTTTTTAACCCAATGGTTGAGTTTGTACATATTTGTTTCAAAGTTGGGTTAATAGTATGTATGTGTGTGTGGAGTGTTGCTTATTGAGCCAGAATCATTTTGTGGATGTGGTGAAACATGCAAAGTCCACTATTGAATGTGTAAGAATTACATCAATAAACGTGTTGATAAATGTTGCATGTTTTATAAACTCCAATGATCTACATCCAAAAATGTTATAGCCCGTGAACCCCAAAATAACAATTCCAGTTACTCGTAACCCCTACTATCCTCGGAGGTGGCTATAAACATACAAACATTGCACACAATGACTCACACACGCCAATAGACACTATATAAACAAAAGCATATTGACAACACAAAAAGTGTCACAGTCTAACGACCATATCTTTTTTTTATAGTCATTATGCGTTCACTTTAATATTAACCTCACTTAATGAGGCAGGTGGGCACAATGTTTACAGCACAAGACTATACTTTAATTTTGGAGACCTTCACTTGGAGAACAACCTCTATGTTCAGTCGTGGCCTTTATTTTTAATGTATGAGTGCCGCAAAGGTGTCAAAGTTGAACATTGTTCTGTAAAATCAGTCTTCTGCAACTAACACTATTGCTGTGTTGTTAATTATAATCCAAGGGGTCACAATCCAATGAAAAAAAAGCATTTGAAAGGCTGATGATTTTCTTTTTTGCATGTTGTTTTTTTTGTAACTATTAAATACTATTTTTAATCCCCTGTAGGTTTTGGATAAAATATGGTAATTTTAATAATTTAATAATATAAATGAGATTTTTGGAAATCAACAAGCAATCCCCCTAATGTCTTGTGACCCCCCGGAGGGTCACGACCCCAATTTTGGGAGCCACTGTTCTAATCTAAACAACTCTAATCTACAGTTTAAAAAATGCTGGGTTATTTCAACACAAATTTGGGTAAATATAGAGAAATTTGGGCTATTTAATTAAAAAATGAACCCAGTGGTATGTTTTGACCATATTTGACATAAATTTGGGTTGAAATAATCCAGCATTTTTAGAATGTACTGCTTAAAAGGTTTGGAGACAAATAGAAATGAACATGTTCTTAAAGCATTGGGTTAAATATGGACAAACCCAGCTGTTGGGTTAAAATTGTATCATTTAAATTTAATTGGAAAAATTAACCCAATGTTAGTTTGTCCATATTTGACCCAAAGCTAAACATTTTAGAGTGTATTTTTATTCAATAAGGATGTGTTAAATGTGTTAAAAGATTTTTTGTACTTACTATCTATTAAAGAGTCCTGAAAATATATTAATCCCCTCAATAAAAGAATAAATGCTTTATACAGTGAAATCAAATAAGCAGTTTATATGATTTCTTAAGGATCATGTATTCTCAAAATTAAAATGACCATTGCTAAATAAATTGACATTTAAATATGTTTATATATACATACACAGTTTAGAATTATTAGCCCCCGTTTATTTTTTCCCCCAATTTCTGTTTAACCGAGAGAAGATTTTTTTCAACACATTTCTAAACATAATAGTTTTAATAACTCATCTCTAATAACTGAGAGTGATGACAGTAAATAATATTCGACTAGATATTTTTTCAAGACACTTCTATACAGCTTAATGTGACATTTAAAGGCTTAACTAGGTTAATTAGGTTAACCAGGCAGGTTAGGGTAATTAGGCAAGTTATTGTAAAATGATGGTTTGCTCTGTAGACTATCGAAAAAATATATAGCTTAAAGGGGCTAATAATATTGTAAAATGGTGTTTAAAAAATTAAAAACTGCTTTTATTCTAGTCTAAATAAAACAAGTAAGACATTCTCCAGAAGAAAAAAATATTATCAGACACAGTGTGAAAATTTCCTTGCTCTGTTAAATATCATTTTGGAGATAATTAAAAAAGAAAAACAAATTTAAAGGGTGGCTAATAATTCTGACTCCAACTGTGTGTGTGTGCGTGTGTGTGTGTGTATGTATATATATATATATATATATATATATATATATATATATATATATATATATATATATATATATATATATATATATATATAATTTTTATTTTTTATTATTATTTTTTTATATATATTCATTCAGTATACTGTATATATTAAAAAAATGTAAGTTTTGGTGGTCTTAGTGCTCATTAAAGACATTCAAAACTTACTGACCCAAAATATATATTTTTAGTTTATTTATATTTTAAAAAAAAAAGTCTTGGAATACATTTTTAAGCCACATTATACTGTAAATTCAACAACTGCAGGGTATAATTGAATTATTTGGAATCATAATTATATCATATCTTATTCATCGCTGAGGCTTTTATGGCAAATTTAAGCACAAATTCTGTGAAATGCATGTTTTTTAGGAATAAACTCATCCACATCATCCGTAATTGAGCTGTTATCAGAGCCATGCTGCTGCCCAGAACTTCTCAGCAGTAACAGGATGTTGAACACAGGATGTGGTTTTTTCTACCACATCTCATTTTTTCAACATAATACTCTGTTCATAAAATAAGAAATACAGGAAGGCGCTCGATATGGTCAGAAAGCACCTCCTCTGCATAAGTGACTTCTTGTCTAGAAGCATCGCTCTGGAAACCGTCCAAAATGGTTTCAATATAACATGTCATCTCCTTCTAACCGAAATCTGTTTATTAACAGGCCAGGAGGACTACGATCGCTTGAGGCCTCTGTCGTATCAGGACGTAAACATTGTTCTCATCTGCTACGATGTGACCAATCCAACGTCATTCGACAATGTCAAGATAAAGGTGAAATGAATACGAATATTAATAACCTTGCCATGAAAAAAAGCAAATCTATCTTTTGTGTGTGTGTGTGTGTGTGTAGGCTTGTATTTACCAGTACTGCACAAATACTCAAAAATGTCTCTGTCGATGCTTTCAAACAATTATCTTTGATTTACCAAGCCACACAAGTTGCAATTTCACATCCGTCACATCCATAATGAAGCTTTTTCCTCATAAATGTCCAAAAATGTTAGATAAAATCAGTCATGTTTGTTATATAGAAAGCCAACTCGTATCCTTTTGATTAGCATTATTCCTTTTGGGTTGTGCAGTTTAATTCACATAATTTCCACATGTTGTTTACTGTGAACTCGCAGACTTTGGTCACATCCATAACGCATGTTTATTTCGCTCATTTAAAGTTTAAAAAATGTTTACAGATTGACATTTCTCTGGTCCCATAAATAGTGGGGTCTTAAAAGCATTGAAATAGTCTTAAATTTGATAGTCTAAAATTAAGGCCTTAATAGCCTTGAATTTGGTATACAAATTATTGGATTTTGTTACAAACGTCTCATTTTATTAATTTATTTGTGCCTTTCCTAAGGATTAAAGTTCATACAATAATAAAATTAACTATTACCATTGTAGGCTAATTAAAAAATTCATGCAGCGTAACGTTGGGTGTATATTGTGCTTCACGTCATAGCAGACAGTGTGTCACCGTAGCTTACTATTATTTACAACGCTCAACTACTTAAAGGGCCATGACACCCCCCACTTTCAGTTAAAGTCTACTTCAGAATTTTTTCAAAAGATGCATGATTAATGGGCGTGGAGCTCCACGAGGAGTAGGAGTGGGCGTGGCCAGCAGGGGAGAACATGAGCGAACAACTGTTGTTGTCAGTTAGCTCGCAAAATGAGACAAACCGTGAGGAGACGCATGGGTTTATAGTTTACAAAGTTAAAATGCAACGAAATGAACAGTGATTTAATGCCCTGCTACATTTGTTATTCGTAATTTCATATAAACATAACCACAATTTATATCATTAAATTGTAATAAGTGTGTTTATGTAAACCCAATAAATGAGGATTCTCCCTCAATCCCCGTATCCAGCAGACTCAGTGCAGCAGGTCTCCTGACCTGTCTATTTTAACCATTAGTCCTGCTGGTAATCTGGAGGATTTAGGCAAACACAGCAGCACAGTGATGTGTCTGAATGTGAACGAACTCCTGATAAAAGACGGCGTCCGCCATTCTTTAATTCTCGCACTGCTCTCCCGACAAAAATGCTAGCAGCACGCACTCAGCTTTGCTGTATGATCGGCCCTGACAAGATTGCGGGGAAAAACATGCAACAAACCCTGTGGATCATGGAAACAAACGCATATGAGCCTTCATGAACGGCTAAATACTGTGTGCCGTGGGTCCGTGTCTCACAGCTTGGGCTTGACACTGGCAGGTCTGGCAGGTCTCATGAATAATTAAGCAGCCGGCTCTTCTCATAGGATAAGAAAACTCTGCTATGAATAATAATGAGAAACCGACGCGTCATCATTGCACTTGCAGTACTGCGCTACGTCGCCGATTTTGATCCGCCCCAAAAATCATTTTAAACCCGGAAGCTGAAATTAGCTGACAAAAGCTCAAAATTATCCAGTTTTTCCCACAATTAAAGCTGACAGGTGCTAATATTGTCTTAACTGATGCTCAACACACACACATCTGTTAATATATATAAAAAAGTTCTCCAGGGTGTCCTGAACCTTTAAAAACGCAGAAGCTGTGCACAATTTCACTGCATGTGTTCTCTGGACAGTCTATTACTGACAAGTACAGCAGAAGCTCCTATTTCACTGTGATTGAGAGAATGAAAGTAAACTCAATTTCTCTCTCTCTCTCTCACTGTGGCTCATTTGACCTGCTGGCGTGACTTTTCCTCTCTTCTTGGCTGTTACAGCAATACTTCTGGATAGATGTCTGCATTCTCGCGGTTGTACAGCGGGAGTCGCGGGACCCGACTAGATTTCTTGCAGCGCGGGAAAACATTTCTGAATGTATTCTAAATTTAAATCCCGAGCGAGCAAGCCCACGCGTAATGCTCTGTGTCTATGTGTGTGTGTGTTTACACAGACAGCTTGTCACAGGTGTGTGTGTGTGTGTTTACAGACAGTCCCCCTTTTTATATAAAACTGTATATGCACCGTGATATTGAACTGAACCGAATCGATGGCATGATAATCGTAACCGAACCAAACCATGAGACCAGTAGGTTCACACCTCTAAGTTCTACATGAGAAGCATTGCCACCACAGCCAAGGAACATCCTATCTTACCGTGGCTCAACACCAACTCTACGGCAAACGCGTTGAGAAAAAGCCACAAGCAGAATTTGACAAGACCAAGTCTTGCAGTCAAAATTGCAGCCAAGGCAGCAGAGCTGCGAAGGCTATAGAGTTACACACCAAGATCAAATTTATTTGTTTATTAAAAATCAAATGTGTGTTACGCTGTTGCGTATAAATATAACTGACAATTTAAATAAAATATTTTATTTAATTTAAGTAGTCACTTGTACATAATTATTTTTAGGGTTCAAAATTTATACAGATTTTACATTTTTCCCTCATACAGTACTTCTGTTATAATGGTTGCGAAGTTGGCATTGAATTTCATTTGAAATGATACTAAAAAGGTCTTAAAAAGCCTTGAATTTCATTTGGAGGATCCTGGGGGTTCCCTGAGTTATAGGTAGTTTTGTAAAATATAACAGATGCTCCAATTTAATGCTAACATATGCTTGTGCATTTGTGTTTTAAGTTTTTACTGCAAATGTCACATTCGTAACGCTGGAACTGCTCATAAGTGTTCATCAGGTAAAAAGCAGCAGATAAACTTTGACCTCATCAGTAGATGATTGTACAAACGGACCACCGCTGACATGTAAACAAACTGTATTCCTACAGGGTTGATGTCACGTAAGATTGGAGGAATGTGCCGAGCCTTGTTTAAATAAAGGGAAGGTTCATTTAGAGCCTAAAGACAGATATAGTGCACTATCAGAGCATCGAGGAAGAGCTGTGAGGAGTATTTACAGTTGAAGACAACATTATTAGCCTTCCTGTGAAATTAGTTTTAGTTTTAATAACTGATTTCTTTTATCTTTGCCATGATGACAGCACATACTATTTGACTAGATATTTTTCAAGATACTAGTATTCAGCTTAAAGTGACATTTAACAACGTTTAACTTAAAACTAGTTTAATTAGGCAAGTCTTGTATAATGATGGTTTATTCTGTAGACAATCGAAAAAAAATATTCCTTAAATGGGCTAATAATATTGACCCTTAAAATGGATAATATTGGTTTTCATTCTTGCCAAAATAAAAGCAAAAAAAGACTGAGGAAGAAAAAATATTATAGGAAATACTGTGAAAATGTCCTTGCTCTGTTAAACATCATTTAGGAAATATTAAAAGATCAATAAATTCACAGGATTTCGACTTCAATTGTACATAAAAAAGTTAGAGAAAGGTCCATATCACGGTTCTTATTTGCACTTCTTACAGGGCGAAGATCAATATTTTTAGCCCCCTTAAAGTCGCTGTGAAATCAAAATTGACAATGTTTATTTTGCTAGCACACATTGTTATTTATACTTCTCGAGTGATCAACGTGACCTCACGACATGCAGTTTTTACTTTTGCATGCTGTTTGTGTTGCTCTGCGATTACAGTTTTTAAGTTCCTCTGTATTGAGTTTCTTTGAGGGTGTTTTGTTTTTTCTGAATGCTACTTTAATGTACAAGTAGCTAAAACTCGTCGGGAACCAGCATGTGTTCAACAACTATCACTATAAGGTAAAAACAAAACAAAAGTTTCCATCTAGAGCTACTTGACGGGACTCGACACTTGTAAACACTCACTCCATCGAGTTTGTGTGGCTCTCGGTCCTGCCCACACTCGTTACAGCTACCAAGCCGACCAATCACAGAGTTTGCATTATGTTTCGTTGCGACATGTAGTTACATCTTTTGAGAGGTGCACATCAGCGTCAGCCACGGTGAGGGCTATGCAAAATATGAACAGTGTCTTTAGTCGTAGCTGGGCACTGCAGACTGTCGTCAACTTGCGGTGCCGGTGTGCATACCCTGATAGAAATCTATGTTTAGAATTCTAAAATCCATGGCGCTGCATGGCGCATCCGGTGTGCGACCACTTTAACAATTAGTCTGCACGTTATTCCACTGAAAAAAAAAGTTTGTTTGGGTAATCTTTAATGAAAATCTGACCGTTTGCTTCTGCATTTGACATTCCTTCGGTTGACATCAGTGTGATGGCTTCCATAGCAACTGTATAACAACATTCCTAACCACGCCCCTCTTACCTCTTAAAGCCCAAAAAGAAAGACTCGCCCCCTACTCAATATTCCATTTCAGTTGGAAGTACAGCAACATACTGAAATAAAAGTCTCAGCAACTCATACGTCTTGCTGACTTATGCTGATTATTTGTCGATTTTCTACAGAACAAACCACTGTTGTTGACTTGCCTAGTTTAACTAATAAAGTCTTTAAATTGCACTTATTACTAGTATCTAGTTAAATAACCTAAATGGCTCAGTGGTTAGCACTGTCGCCTCACAGCAAGAAAGTCGCTGGTTCGAGTCCCAGCTGGGTCAGTTGGCATTTCTGTGTGGAGTTTGCATGTTCTCCCCGTGTTGACGTGGGTTTCCACCGGGTGCTCCGGTTTCCGTCACAGTCTAAACACATTCGCTATAGGGGAATTGATGAACTAAATTGGTCAAAGTGTATGAGTTTGTGTGTGTTAATGCGAGAGTTTAGCGGTGTTTCCCAGTACTGGGTTGCAACTGGAAGCGCATCCACTGTGTGAAACATATGCTGGACAAAACATATGGTTCATTCCACTGTGGCGACCCCTGATAAAAAAGGGACTCAATTGAAGGAAAATTAATGAATGAATATTATGTACTGTCATCATGGCAAAGAATAAAATATTGCTATTACATTTATAAAAATGTGTTGAAATAAAATCTCTGTTGAACAACACATTGGAAATATTTGAGAAGAATAATTTAAAGAAGGATAATCATTTTGCCTTCAAATTGTATGTTTAGTTTTAGTTTGAATAATTTTTTCCTGTCTTCCTCAAGTGGTACCCAGAAGTTCGTCATTTCTGCCGTGACGCCCCTATTATACTGATAGGCTGCAAGACGGACCTGCGAAAGGACAAGGAGAAGATGAGGAGGCTCAAAGCTTTAGATCAGGCGCCCATCACCTACCTCCTGGTCAGAGTTTGCTTTTATTTATTTATTTAATAACATCACTTTTGATTGATTTAATGTATCCTTGTGACTTAATGAGCCCGCCAAAAATGTGTATACACTTACTGGCCACTTTATTAGGTATGGCTTTCTTGTAAACATACCAGATTGGACTGCTTTTGCTTTCTGAACTGCTTTAAAGCGAGATAATTCAGCCAAAACTTTAATTTAGTCATCATTTACTTATGCTTTACTTGTTTCAAAGCTTTCTTCTGTTAAACACAGAAAAGGATATTTTGAAAAATGTTGTAAACCTGTAACCATTGACTTCCATATTTTTTGTTTTTGTATTCAAGTCAATGATTACAGGTCATCTGCTTTCCTTTGAAAAGTAAAAAAGAAACCCATAAAGGTTTAGAACCATTTGATGGAAAGTAAATAGAGAGTAAACTTTCCTTTTTGGGTGAGCTGTCCCTTTAAATCCCCTTTGTTCTTGTTTTAGATACCCGAGTTGAACTTTAGTGAGTAGGTACTGCATTTAAATTGGAGTTTATAACATGATCGTTTGTAAAGTACATTATATATATTATGAATATATATATAACCTGCATTAGTTGTGCCATGTGTCTAGTGTCATGTGATTGGCTAAGCTAATATTTGTGTTAATCAGTTTAACAGGTGTGCCTAATAAAGTGGCCAGCAAGTTTATATATATATATATATATATTTTTTTTTTTTTAATTATTATTTTTTTTAATATATAAAAAATAGGCCTAGTGATAGAAGTATTAATTAACCAACTTGAATTTTTCTCCTCCAGGGTGAACAGACGCAAAAGGAAATGAACGCTGAGATTTACTTGGAGTGTTCGGCTAAATATAGAGAAAACGTCGAGGACATTTTCAGAGAAGCAACAAAGCGAGCGCTAGCAGCCAGAGCTAAAGCCAGACATCGCAGCAAGAAGAAGAAACACTGCACAGTTTTGTGACCTTTCCTGGAAGACATGCATACATTTTGTATATTCAAACTATGATATGTTATAAACATTCAGGAATCATCTGCAGAGCTTCCGGGAATGTTTAAGACTTCTTGAAGGAATATTTTCAAGACACTGAGTGCGTGTTTTCAATCTACCCACCTAGCAAGACATACTGTTTGACAGAGATCACCACTGTGTGCACGAGATATGTTTGTTACGATCCACTCCACATATTTTTCTGGTGGTGGTTTCCTCATTTGACTTAATGGAGTTTTATCTTCCATGTTGATCATGGAGATGAAAAAACTGCTGCTGATGTCTCAGGGATGGCCAAACGCATATTAGATGGTCGTATTGTAAGTTTGGTTATAATTGGTGTGATTTATAATGCACACCGCTATTATTATGCACTTGGTGTAACATGTTTCTGCAGTATAAGTCATGCACCAAAGTATTTAACGTTAATTGTTGAGTTAAGACCTGTTCACACCAAGAACTATAACTATACTGTCAACAACAAAGTTTTAAAATTTGGTATTTACGTCACTGATTAATGCCAGCAGACCATGCCAGAATATGCATCTTATTTTTGTAGTGTGTATGCTATTTGATTTGAAAGACCACATAAAATTGTACGTAACAATTCATTAATGTATAATTTCTGAGACAAAAACTTCAGTCATAATAATGAATGGAGTCCTTCAACTTAATTTAAGTTTTAAATGGAACTGCCCAATTTTAAAATTAGCATATCCAGTCACACCAGAGGACATGTTCTTCAGTGACAAAATGTATTAAGTTTCTATATTTTTAGAAATAAACACATTAAAAAGAATGGCCATTTACTAAAATAGCCACTTGTAAAATTAGTCTATATACAGTTAAAGTCAGAATTATTAGCCCTCCTTTGAATTTTGTTCTCTATTTTAAATATTTCCCAAATGATGTTTAACAGAGCAAGGAAATTTTCACAGTGTGTCTAATAATTTTTTTTCTCCTGGAGAAAGTCTTATTTGTTTTATGTCAGCTAGAATAAAAGCAGTTTTTAATTTTCTAAACACAATTTTAAGGCCAAAATTATTAGCCCCTTTAAGATATATATTTTTCCGATAGTCTACAGAACAAATCATCGTTATACAATAACTTGCCTGATTACCCTAACCTGCCTAGTTAACCTAATTAAGCTTTTAAATGTCACATTAAGCTGTATAGAAGTGCCTTAGAAAATATCTAGTCAAATATTATTTACTGTCATCATGGCAAAGATAAAATAAATCAGTTATTAAAGATGAGTTATTAAAACTATTATGTTTAGAAATGCGCTGAAGAAAATCTTCTCTCGGTTAAACACAAATCGGGAAAAAATAAACAAGGGGGTAATAATTCTGACTTCAACTGTACGTTATTACCAATATATAGTTGTAAAACTAATACAAAGTGTTGTCTTTTGGTGTTACACCCCTATTTAGTCATGGAAATAAAATATTAATATTTTTATATACAATAAAAGGCATTATATGCAGATTTGTGTTCGTCAATGAAGATAAATCGCTCTCACGCTATTTATATTAAGAGTTATGGTTTTTTTTTTTTTTGCTACATCCCATCATGACATTTTTACAGTTTCGTAAAAAATAAAAGTAAAATTAAAGAATTAATAGTGACATCAAACACCTTATTTCTCAAAAACACCTTAAAATCAAACTATAAATATAACTTTTTTTCTTAAAAAATGGTGTAAAGCAATCGTTTTCTTACTGCCTATTAGTCAACTACCCTCATGTAGGCTAACGTTAGCTGCTAGACGAATAACAAACAAACAAGTGCAGTGACCTGTAAAACTTTCTGCTATAAATTGCCTTCACGATTATGATAATAAGTCAAAGATTAATGATAATTCTTACCTGTTTGCGATGTCAAGCAGTGGGAAAACTGGAAGCTAGCCTCCTTCATTCATAAATAGCATGTTCGTCACCCGTCACATTTACAACGACCTTTTTTCCAAAGAACATCAACAGCCAATCAAAATCCACACCGTTCAAAAGAGCGCGAATATTCAAAAAGTAAACTGCAGCGCGCGATTATTTTGCTTACAACATTATAGTGCGTTTGGTGTGGACGCTAACGTACTTATAATTACAATTTTTTGTTAATGCACCATTGCAGTATTTTGTCAGTCTCTATTATTTAACGCGTTCTAAATTTTATATACAAAATGTAGCCTACATCTGGAGAAATATATGCTATAATTGTAGCTGCAGAACACCGCCATTTTCTTGACTTTGTGTTGCTTCCTGTTAACAGTATCATACGGATGCCAAAAAGTATTGTTTAAAATTTGTATCTGTTCCACAAGTGTTGCACAAATAAACCTTTTTTATTTATATACATGATTAGATGTTTGCCTGCTGATGACAATAATGTCACCATATTTTAAGTCTGTAGCTGTTTTATAACAGCGTGTTCTTTTGACATTGAAACCGACTGCATGATGCAATTCTTGTCAGATTTTAGAAAGATGTTTCTGAAAATCTCTGCTTTCTCTGCAAAACAAAATTGGTCAATGCAAAAGTTGCTGTGGTTAGAAGAACTCCTCCTGCACATATAGCAGGATATGACTGTGGTAACGGAAGCCTTGAAATACTGCTGCAAGTGACATCTACAAAGCTAGAAATTCAATGTTATTTTTATGTTGCAATTGCTCATGAATTTGGCATAAAACTTGAGAAGGGTTTTCAAGCTTCACATCAATAAGTGTAGGTTAATTTATTTATTCTTGAAGATTATAATGCATCCTGTTTGATGATCATACATTTTGAAATGCGAGCAGCGTATTAAACTAATCTTGACATATTTACAACACACTCTGCTGAAAAATCCAGCTTAAACCAGCCTAGGATGGTTGGCTGGTTTTAGCTGGTCGACCAGCCTGGTTTTAGAGGGGTTTTTGCCATTTCCAGCCTGGTCTTAGCTGGTCAGGCTGGGAGGTGACCAGCTAAAACCAGCTTAAACCAGCTTGACCAGCCTAGCCAAAACCAGCTATGTCCAGCTTAAACCAGGCAGGTCAAGTTGGTTTTAGCTGGTCATTTTTCGGCCTGACTAGCTAAAAACAGGCTGGAAATGGCCAAAACCCCTCTAAAACCAGGCTGGTCGACCAGCTAAAACCAGCCAACCAACTTAGGCTGGTTTAAGCTAGATTTTCAGCAGGACAATCATTATCATTATTAGATTATTATATATATATATGTTCATTCATGCATGCATTTCGGCATGTAAACATGGTCAAGACGATCTTCTGCAGTTCAAACCGAGCATTCGAATGGCCTCCACAGTAATCAGAGCTCAATTCAATAGAGCTCCTTTGGGATGTGGTGGAACGGGAGATTCGGATCATGGATGTGCAGCCGACAAATCTGCAGCAACTGCGTGATGCTATCATGTCAATATGGAGCAAATCTCTCAGGAATATTTCCAGTAGCTTGCTGAATCCATGCCATGAAGGATTAAGGCAGTTCCGAATGCAAAAGGGGGTCCAACCCGGTACTAGTAAGGTGTACCTAATAAAGTGGCCGGTTGGTGCATTTCAATAATTCCACGTTTTTTATTGTCACATAAATATATCTGTTACACTAAATACCTATTTAAAACAGTAAATAAAATTAATTATAAATAATTTCATGCTACTAAACCTAACCCATATTCAAACACTAGTCATAAAGTAAGAAATTGAAATGAATTAATATTACTCAGTATAGTTAAATGAATAAAAAAAAGTTAATTGCAACATTAAGTTAGACACTCTATTTCTACTTTTAGAAGATTTATATGTATATTTATATGTTAAACCATATAATAATAATCAATGAACATAAATATAGCTTGATATTTGTACAGAGATGTTTTATTTAATAGGTCATGTACAAAACTATCAGTTTCTTAAACTTCAATGGCAGGACCATTTTTAAAAAACCCGCCCCCTCAGAAAATGTCAAAATGATTGACAGGCAGATAAAGATTCTGATTGGCAAAGCCATCTAGGGCGGCTTCTCCATTGATGTTCACAGAGCATGTCTGTGTTTTTGCACACGACATCTAGATCAGTGTAATGCATCAGGTAGCATTAATGTTGTATTTAAACAGTGAAACATGTTATCCATCATGTTCTGAATGATAAACAAATAAAAAATAAGGCACACAAAAATCACCATTGATTTCTTCCACATGAATCTGCTTCACAGTCGCGCCCTCTGGTGGAGAGGGTGTAAATAATACTGATTTTCCACGCAGATGAATTGCAACAGTTTTGTTTTTATTGGCTCTACATAACAGAAAGAGAATACAAATCCTGCCTGTTATCGAATCGGTACTTTGGAAACCTTTTCCCTCCAAACAAAAAAAGTGCAGTAATTTTGCTCAACACAAACGCTTAAATACATTTACGCTGGGGTTTATCTGTGCAATAAAGCGTTTCCCAACATGAGAAATCCCTTTAGTTACAGCTTTCAGGTACAATTCCCGGAGGAGCTGAATTTCCAAACAACTTGCAACACTTCAAGATTAAACTAAACCATGTGAAAAAAAACTATAGTCATTTATTTTACTACAGTAATTTATATTTTACTATAGTAATTTATATTAAATACTAGCGTTTTGAACCATACTAGTAAAGTGTATTAGACTGATTAACAGATCCAGCATATTGTAGTGTTAACTGAAAAACCGTTATAAATACTACAGTATACTTTAGTTTTGTGGTGTGTTGTAGTATGATATACCAATATACACTCACCGGCCTCTTTATTAGGAACGCCTGTCCAACTGCTTGATAACACAAATGTCTAATCAGCCAATCACATGGCAGAACCTCAATGCAGCTAGGCATGTAGACATGGTCAAGACGATCTGCTGCAGTTCAAACTGAGCATCAGATCGATGATTGAAGTGTCTTTGAACATAGCATTGTTGTTGGGGAGTATTTCAGAAACTGCTGATCTACATGGATTTTTACGCACAACCATCTCTAGGGTTTACCGAGTGGTCAAAAAAAGAGGAAATATCCAGTGAGCGGCAGTTCTGTGGGCACAAATGCCTTGTTGATGCCAGAGGTCAGAGGAGAATGGCCAGACTGGTTCCAGCTGATAGAAAGGCAACAGTTACTCAAATAAGCACTCGTTACAACCAAGCTCTGCAGAAGAGCATCTCTGAACACACAACACGTCCAACCTTGAGGCGGATGGGCTACAGCAGCAGAAGACCACACCGGGTGCCGCTCCTGTCATCTAAGAACAGGAAACTGAGGCTACAATTCACACAGGCTCACCAAAACTGGACAATAGAAGATTGGAGAAACGTTGCCTGCTCTGATGAGTCTCCATTTCTGCTGTGACATTCGGATGGTCGGGTCAGAATTTGGAGTCAACAACATGAAAGCATGGATACATCCCGCCTTGTATGCACAGTTCAGGCTGGTGGTGGTGGTGTGATGGTATGGGGGATATTTCCTTGGCACACTTTGGGCCCATCAGTACCAACTGAGCATCGTTTCGACCCCACAGCATACCCAAGTAATTGTGACCACAGTGTACCAGCGCATGTTATCCTGTCATAAAGCGTGAATATTCTCACACTGGTTTCTTGAACATGACAATGAGTTCACTGTACACAAATGGCCTCCACAGTCACCAGATCTCAATGTAATATAGCCCCTTTGGGATGAGGTGGAATGGATCATTTGCATCATGGATAAAGCCAACAAATCTGCCGCAACTGTGTGATGCTATCATGTAAATATGGACCAAAATCTCTGAGGAATATTTCCATTACCTTGCTAAATCTATGCCACGAAGAATTAAGGCTAAAGGGGGTCCAACCTTGTACTAGTAAGGTGTACCTAATAAAGTGGCCGGTAAGTGTAGTTGTAGAAAACTATTTTTGTTTATATTACTGTGGTTGTTGTGTTACCATAGCAACTACAGAACTTCCACAACAGATTTAAATTCAAATGCAGCCGTTTTGGCACGAGACTTTCAGTCTCATTCACTCCCATGATGATTTTTAGACGTTAACACAGCTCATTATACAGCTTGAAGTTGCAAACTGATATTTTCTTATGATATTATTCTTCTTTATATGTATATTTATGAACACACCTAGAGCGAGTAGTTTGACCGGTTTTCTGCTGTTTATTATTCCTAGTCATTTCTCCCCTAGGCAACACAAGTAAACTACCTCAAAAATGAGCGCACTTCCAATCAATACTCAAGTATGGTTCAAAAACAATACAGCATTTACTATAACTTGCTATAGTATTTCTTCATGTGGGAGGTGTAAAAGGAGAGCTTAAGGCAAATAAATCAGCCAGCAAACAAACTTTGCCTTTGTAAAATTGCATGGAAAGAAGGTCTTGTCAGCAAAAAAACTCCCTGATGGAAAATGAGCAACACAGAAACACACACCGGTTCATTTATGTCATCTTAAAACAGCTTTCATTAACATAATGCAGGTTAGCATTTCAGCTGTTACTCGCATTTAAAGAGCCTCTATTATGGGTTTTTGAAAATGACCTTCCATGCAGAGTGTAAACAGCTCTGAGGGAATGAAAACATCCAGCTGAGGGTTAAATCTATTGATTCTTCAAGGAAAGAGTCAACTGAATGATTCATTTTGTGTCCGGATCTTTTGCTTGGCTGCATCAACATTAATAGGCAACATTGCCAAATATGAAGTGCCGGATCGGGTAAAACGTGAACGTGCCTTTCCCTTCAAACACTAGCAGAGTCCAGGTGTGTGTGGGACTGATCATGACTAAAGATGAGTGAACATTATTGAGTGAACATTCTGCTGATTAATGCAATAATCTACCCTGCAACGGAGGATTCGTCGGCCATTTGTTAAAGAAAGGATCAGAAAACACTATTGATGTATGGAACTTTGTCAGAGCTTAACAAGAGCTTTATCAGTACACAGGTCATGGACCGGTACATTAATCCATTTCACAAGTGTAAGGGTGCTTTCACATCTGTAATTCGGTTCATTTGGTCCAGATTAAGAGCAACAAATGATACATTGTTGCATTTTCTGCCGTCTTTGGGTCGTTTTCACACCACACTCATTGCTTTGGTCCGAACCATTTGAAATGAACCAAAATGCAGTCATGTGACAAGATCCACATCACTCATTGGCCAGATGTTCACGTGCGGGAAAGTGCCAATGGAACTCCCGCAAGTAAACAAACCGGCAGACACAAAATGTTGCTTTTGACTATCGAGGGTCGACTGCGCTGGCTTATTGTATCCCTGCTCATAGTATACTATATAGATTGTATACATCACTTCAGACAGACTACTTTTCGAAAATGAAGCGCAGTTTCAATGTTTTAAGGCAAACGGCGATGGCGCATTGCAGGTCACTTCAGGAGGCGTGAATTAATTTAGCTAAACTGCGACATGGTCGTCTTCCAGAAATATTACCAACGATCCATCAGCTAATGTTTTTCCCTCTCTCCTTCTCTGTTGGTAAAGTGCTGTCAGCAAATGTTTTTCCTTCACATCCCATAATGCACAGTGCATTGGCCTACGGCAGCTGGATCAGTCCGAAAAGGCGCACTACCTTTTGCAGTTCAGTCTGTTTTAGTTCAGATCATATTCGCACCACAACAAACCGCTCCAGTGTTCATTTGAAAGCGTCCCCTCTTCAAGGAGGTCTCGGTACGCTCTTTTGGTCCGCTTTTGTGCGCACTTGAGTACGACTGCTACATTCACACCTGCCCAAACGAACTGTAGTGCGATTCAACCAAACCAAATAAGGCAGGTATGAAAGCCCCCAAGTAGGTGCAATTAAAATGGTTGCAAAGTTCATTCATTCATTCATTTTCATCTGCTTTTCCAGGGCCGGGTTGCGGGGGCAGCAGTCTTAGGAGAGAACTTCAGACTTCTCTCTCCTTAGACACTTCCTTCAGGTCCCCCAGGGGGATCCCGAGGCATTCTCAGGCCAGCCGAGAGACATAATCCCCTCAGCGTGTCCTGGGTCTTCCTCAATCCTAAACAGATGCTCGAGCCACCTCAGCTGACTTCTCTCGATGTGGAGGAGCAGCGGCTCTACTCCGAGCTCCTCCCGGGTGACAGAGCTCCTCACCCTATCTAAAAGGGTGCGCCCTGCCACCCTGCATAGGAAGCTCATTTCGGCTGCTTGTATCCGAGATCTTGTCCTTTAGGTCATGACCCAAAGCTCATGAGCATAGGTGAGAATAGGAACGTAGATTGACCTGTAAATCGAGAACTTTGCCTTTCGGCTCAGCTCCTTCTCTATCACAACAGACCGGTACATCGAACGCATTACTGCTGCCACAGCACTGATCCACCTGTCAATCTCACGTTCCATCCATCCCTCCTGAACAAAACACCAAGATACTTTGACTCCTCCACCTGGGGTAAGGACTTTCCTCCAATTTGGAGAAGGCAAACCACCTTGCAAAGTAAAGTGGAAGCTTGCACAGTATGTATTTAATTCAGGGCCGAGCACTAAAACGGTGCAAAGGCCCTATTGGAATGGCTTCTTTATTATTACTATTCCGTTCCGGAATGAATTGCGATTTTGAGGGTCTAAACATGCCCGAAAACTCATAAAAACTTTGCACACGCGCCAAAAGTGGCGAAAATGTACATTTGATAAATGTTTCGGAAGTGGGCGTGGCAAAATGACTCGACAGCGCCACCTATAAAATTTTACAAAGTGCCCCGCGAACTACGATTCATGCACAAGTATGAAAATTGGCACATACCTCAAACATGCCAATTCCTACAAAAAAGTCTCTTGGAGCGAAATCTCAAACCTAATAGGAAGTGCGATATTTTTAACTTCCAGCCCCGAAAAAGTGCAGTTTTTCCCATTTCCAGGCGTTGTATTTTAATAAACTAATATCCAGTTAGATTTATAGCGCCACCTGCTGGCAACAGGAAATGTCATGTTTTACAAAGTAGCAAACTCCTCCTACAAATCTTATCGTATCAGCACCAAATTTGTGTGGTGTTATCTGGAAGTTCTGGCGATGATATATTGTGAAGATCTAGAGTTTTCGCCAAAGGGCGTGTCCGCGGCGGCCTGACAAACCTCAGTGTTTCGCCATGGAACAGGAAGTACTTATAACTCAACCACACAATGTCTGATCTGCCTGAAACTTCCCATGATTGATAAAAGTCCTCTCCTGGAGACATCTACATGCCAATATTGAGTCAAAGTCATAGCGCCACCTGCTGACAAAAGTACGTTTGGCTTATAACTCAACCATACAATGTCTGACCTGCCTGAAAATTCACATGGTTGATAAGATTCCTCTCCTAAAGACATCTACATGGCAATATTAAGTCAGTCATAGCGCCACCTGCTGACAGAAGTACGTTTGGTATAAATCTGTGATTTTCTCAGATTTTTAAATATATGAGCTTTAATTATTATTGTTCGCTGTTCTCTGTCAACCTGAGGCCACCGGGCGTTGGTGAGCCCGGGTGCGAGGTCCCTTTCATCGCTGCTTGCAGCTTTAATTGTGTTTTGTAATTGCTGCACGCAGCTTCTACTGTATCTGGTACACTTTTTATATTCTCATATCATGTTTGAAGCCATGTTTATAACAAGACGCGTGTCGCTTTGTTTACAAATTTAAATGCGTTCGTGAGCTCGCGATCCTCTGTCATTTGTCATTGCTCTGGCCACCATCAGCTGTTCCTACACACGTGCAGCAGTCAAGTTTCAAAATAGCTTTTCCGCTGTATGGATTAACGCTGAATGTGTGTCGTTGTGAGTACTCCGAGTTATGGTTAAGAATAGAGCAATATGCTGGTGTTTAGCTGCATTGCTTTAATGCACTCCTGCATTGGGCTCACGCATACACACTGCACTCCGACTACTTCAACAATGTTGATAAGCCGTAATGAGCGTTCGTCTCTGCCTTGCGCTGAACACAGTCGACCAATAGCAACAGACTGGGTCATCGTACCAATCAGTGCAGATTGACCGTGCTAAGCAGGGGTTTGAGAACAAATGAATCGCTAAACAGTTTATATGGGAGTCGTTGGGATGATTAGGTAAAAATAAATGCATATAATGAGACAATGAAAGTGTTTTTTGACCTTGCATGCATATCAGCTTGCTGTTGGAGACCCCCAAAACTAAAATATGACCTTTTATAATGCATAATAGGGGCTCTTTAAAATAAAGTCACACGTTTATGCCTTCAAACACAAAAGGTGGACAATTACCAGAGGCGTGATTTTGACTCAAACATACTACGAAAGTGTTACTTTATTGCCATTGTTAAAAACATAAATCCCCACGTTCATCATGTGACCTAAATTCAAGAAGTTAGCCTTGCTGAAACAGTACTAACAAGCCACGACGTGCAAAACACACCCTTCCCTTCAAGTGGCATTAAGTATCAATGCTTTCCCACATATATGTAACGTCTGCTGCAGCTGAAATGCAAGTGTTTTTAATTAACAGCTTTATTATGAACGCTAACGAATCCCTTTGAGAGTGCGCACTTCTACAGCCTTCCTGCTGCATTGCATAAAGTATAAAAGTGGCTTTTTTTGTAAACATATCCATGCACAGGAACGAAACAATCCTCACATATTGGGTATACAGTGTCTGAAGTTTGTCAGTGGGTTTCTGAGCCCAAACGTTGCTTGAGATGATGTGAAAAAGAGCAAAAACAACACAGCAGAACGCAGGGCGACGTGACACGGAAACTTGAGTCTCCTAACGAGTTGGAGGAGACGTCAACATCTCCCTCAAACCGTTGGAGGGACGAAAGAGTTTTGTGCGCTTTTGAGTATCAGTCTGACGCAGAGACTCAGTTGTTTTTCACCTTGTCTTTGTTCTTCAGGAGCTTCTGATGAACCACTTTCAGAGTCGTGAGGAAATTTCCCAGGAACAGCACGAGAAACGTCAAGGCCAACATGAAGACCTGCAGGGCACAAGCATTCCAGAGCACTTTTTTTTTTTAGCCGAGCAAACTTTATTATTCAATAATTAATGACTGAATTATTAGAAGTAAAATCAGTGCTGGACAAAGCTTCATCACATACAAAAAGTTGGTTTTGACATTATATTTGCATGTATTATATACATTTACTTTGTATAAAAAATAAATAAGTCAATAAATAAATGAATGTATTATGTATACATGATACACACAAACCCATAGAAACAAAACTATTCAAATATTACATTTATTAAAAACTATTACATTTATATATATTATTTGTATCATATACATGTACATATGCAAAATGTTTTATGTGTAAATATAAATAAACATTGCATATAAAATATGCATGTGTGTATTCATATAGCCTATATATATAATAAATACACAAAGTACATACATATGTCCAAACAAACTTTTATTTTGGACACAATAAATTGTTTGCCCAGCACTAATAGATGTGAGTTTACCAAAAGTATATTCTTTTTATTTTCTTATAACTTTATAGTTAAAAAAAATTTACAAATTTTAAAGTAAATGTAATTTTAAAATGAATATACTTGAATGTTATATATATAATAACTATTAACTAACTACTAATGAAGCATAGTAGCTTTAAGATGATATTTATAATACTAAAACTAATAATGATAATAAAATTAATGATTTTTAATAATATCACACAATGATGATGATGACAAATTAAGAATGCTAATAATAATACTTACTAAAACTAATAATAAATTATCTTTAATAGTTATACCTACCTAATAATTATTTAAAAATATTTACAAAGCATTGCAACTATGATAATGATGATACTACTACTACTACTACTAATACATTCTAAAAATTAATAATTATAAAGCATAGTACCTTTATACTACTGCTATTGTACTATTATAATATACTATAATATTACTTTAAAAATATTTATAATACTAAACTAATAATGATAATAAAATATTAATTATTGATAATGCTACCTTTATGATGATGATGATAATGCTAATAATAATACTTACTTAAACTAATGATAAATGACAATTTTATGATGATTTTTTTAGTAAAACTAATGATAAAGCAGAGTAACTTCATAATAATGATGATACTACTACTAATCCTAATACTAATACATAATACAACATAGTAGCTTTATGATGATATTTTTAATACTTACTAAACTAATATTGAAAATAAAAATAATAAATATTATTGATAATATTAGATTTATGAGGATGATGATAACTAATAATTTTATTTACTAAAACTAATAAGAAATGACCATAGTTTTATGATTATGAAACACATAGTTTGTAAAACTGATGATAAAGCAGAGTAACGTTATAATAATAATGATACTACTACTACTAATAATAATGTTTTCTAAAAATAATACTAAGCATAGTAGCTTTATGATGCTATTTTTAATACTTGCTAAACTAATAATGCTAATAAAATATTAATTATTATTGATCATATTAATACCTTTATGATGATGATAAATAATAATAATAAATACTAAAACTAATAATGAATGACAATATTTTTATGGTGCTGATGCAAATAATTAGTAAACTATTGAAAAATCATTTTAAATAACTTTATGATAATTTTACTACTACTACTACTACTACTACTACTAATAATAATAATAATAATAATACATAACAAAATAAAAATAAGGCACAAGAGCTTGATATGATTATATCAATAAAACATAATAATAACAAGTGATTAAGAACATTAACTGGACAATAGAAATTAAAATTATAACCAGTTCAATAAGTTAATACAGATATAATAAAAGCGAGAGTAACTTTCCTGTTCAAAGTTGTGATTTGGGGGATTATATTGAGGTGTACATTGTATTTTGAGCAATAGCAATGATGTTTGTCAGCTTTTACCTGCCACTCCTTGCAGTCGTCAAGAGCAGACAGTCTGAAAAGAGTCACAGCATTGTAGAGCTGCCAAAACTGAGCACAGGACAGAAAAACAGATTTCATTCATCAAATACAGTAATATTCTCAAATATAATTACAATTTAAAGGAACACTCCACCTTTTTTTGAAAGCGTCTCATTTTACAAATCTCCTAAAGTTAAACTATTGACTTGAACCACTTTTGAATCCATTCAGCTGAATTCCTGTCCTGGCTGGGTCACTTTTAGCTTAGCTTAGCATAATGAATTGAACTGGATTAGACCGTTAGCATTTCATTAAAAAAAATAAAATAAAATAATTGATTATACTTAAAGCTTGAGTCTTCTGTAGTTACATTGTATTTCAAAAAAAGGTGGACTGTTCCTTTAAGAGAACAGTGTTCTGTATGAATATGCAACAACATTCAAATGATTCCTGTCAGTAAAAAGTTTTCATTATCATTACTCCTGTAATTCATTACACCAAGTTGACACAGCATCTTAAATATGAAAAAGGACACGAGACATGGGCGTCAAGGCCTGTTCACACCAAGCGAGAAACAAGAATTATTATTTTGCTCCTAGTATTGATGTCAATGGCGGCTTTTCTCCCAACATTCTTCAAAATATCTTAGGGCCCTATCATACACCCGGTGCAGTGTGGCGCAAGGCGTGACGCAGAAGTCTTTTGGTAGTTTAAGCTTGGCGCAAGAGTGGTTTTGAGGCGTTGCGCTACGCTGTTTAAATAGCAAATGCATTAGCGCTCATATGTGCGCCCATAGGCGTTCTGATCTAAAAAGGAAGGCATTCTGAGGCGGGCCGCTGGCGCGTTGCTATTTTGAGAAACTATAATAGATTTTTCATTAGACCAAAACTAACACGGTCTAAACTCCAGCGCAGAGTTGCGCCTCGCTTACACACTGCTTAATACCCACAAGAGAGCAATAGGCAAATATCTTTACATATGAAAAAAATGTAAATATTAAAGATATATATATATAGGATATAATAAGAATAGATATAGAATATAAATATAAAGGATTAAAATATTACAAAACATATTATTTTCTAGCCTACATAAATATGAAAAATCACTGCTTTTATGTCTTCTTCATCTCGGGAGGCTTTTTCAGTTCATTCATAACAATTTGCTTTTGTATAATGTTATTATTATTAGCAGTATTATTTATTATATCCATATTTATATTTGTTTTATTAAAAACAAGCTTAGATTTGCCCACCTGTCAGGTTTTAGACCATATGGGGCACAGCATGTGTTTTAGGATATAACTCAGGTTTTTGAACACATTTTGTTATTATTGTTCATTTATGCGTTTGCTGGAAATTAGAACTGAATTTAGAAATAGTTTTGAAACGAATATTTGCGCTTAACAAACAAAAGTATTTTTTTATAGACTAATTGATGTCTGTGCGTAAAGGTTTCCCTATCCAAGAGCGAAAGTGAAAGTAGATCCATCATCTCTCATTCTCACACAGTAGATGCTCTGTTTAACAGTTTTCTGTTACAAAAAACTGTTAACTGTTTGCTTGTGAAATGCTAATTTTTCCACTTAGACTTACTTTGCGTCCTGTAAATAGCGAATGCGCTCTTGGCGCGACGCAGCTGACTCTTAAAGGGAATGGGAGATGAGACTTTAATTGGTTTATTCTCAAAACACACCTATAACTCATTAAGAAATAATAAACTCAACCCTTTTAGAACTTGCGCCTTGGCTCAAGGCAGATTTCCCGTCCTTAAATTAGCAAAAACGCGTCCTGACACGCCCTGAAAGCATTTGCGCCCTGCGTTTTGCGCTTTGCGCATGGACCGTCAAAATAGAGCCCTTAGTGTTCAACAGATAAAAAAAAATTAACTTGGAAACGTTTAAAACCACTTTCGCGGTATGTAAACGCAAATAAAACATTATTGAGCATGTCTGGGGTAAGATGAAGGAGGAGGCGTTGAAGATGAACCCAAAGAGTCTTGATGAACTCTGGGAGTCCTGCAGGAACGCTTTCTTTGCCATTTCAGATGACTTTATTAATCAGTGATTTGAGTCAGTGCAGAGATGTATGGATGCAGTCCTCCAAGCTCATGATGGAGTCAGACACAATATTCATTCTGTCTCCACTGCAGCAGGACTTTATATTCTATACTGGACATTATTTCTGTTCAGTGATGAGACTTCTGTCTAAGCAGAGTCAGACCTTACTGTCCTAATTAAATCATGCAAAATCAAGGCATGATCATATTTTATTTGGGTCAAATAAGTGTAATCTAGAGGCCTTTGACTTTCATATAAGCCACTTCTTATATCAAATAATCAACTAGAAGTCAAGCTATTATTCGCTGCTCCTAAAACTTGAATAGGCGACAAGACTTTTGTCAGGTGGTGTACATGCTGAGGAAATCATATTTTTTTCTGTGTACTGTCCCTTTAAGATGCATAAGAATGAAGATTTTTACAAGGAAAAGATGCACGGGAAATGAAAGGCGACACTTACATGGCCAAAGAATAGAAAAGGAAGGAGGAAAGTGAGGCCTCTCCACATCCAGGACTGAAACCCCTCTGAAATAGGGCGAGAGAGAAACACGAGAAGTCAAGCTGGGCTCTGACATCACACAGATCAACATTTCTCCCATGATTCAACTCTGTCCGGACTCTCACCCACTGTCAGGTCCAGCTGGTTTCTTTCCCCCAGAGCCCGTAACCGATATAAGCAGCCGCTCTGATAATAATACTGAAGAAACTGCACACAACCTGCCACAGAGACAACATCTCGCACATTCAAGCATGACAATATGGAAATGTTGAATTGTATTAACCTAGATAAGCTTTTAAATGTCACTTTAAGCTGAATACTAGTATCTTGAAAAACATCTAGTCAAATATTATGTGCTGTCATCATGGCAAAGATAAAATAAATCGGTTATTAGAAATGAGTTATTAAAGCTATTATGTATACAAATGTGTTGAACAAATCTTCTCTCCATTTTATGCAGCTTTATTCAATTTATTATTGCTGTTATTCAGGTTGAATGTACTTTTTTAACATCACAAAACAGGAAATAGTTGCAAAATAGACTTAAAAATAGACTTTTTCCCCCACAATATGATGCTTATTGTCATATTTGACAGCCCTAGCTGATGATACAATAATGATACACACTCTGATAAATGGAGAAAGCCAGGAATTGACTTCTGAACATCTGATACATGGGACCTTCTGGCCTGAAAAGACAAAAGCCGAGAGTAAAGATGAACTAAAAGCTGGAAAAGAGAATTGAATTTGAGCATGTAAAACACTTACCATGTCAACATGACACCTGATAAAAAAGTTGAGACGTAGTGATGTGACACCCACCATCCTTTAATTCTGGAAATGAAAAAGTGAGATGATAAGCTTCATCATGAAATAATAAATATGTTTAACAAACTTAATTAAACACACACAACTAAAACATTAAACATAATGTGGTGAAATAATTTCAGCACCATAACAATAAACAAACAATATAAATTATATATAGTTTTCAGATAACAATATATATATATATATATATATATATATATATATATATATATATGATCATGATATAGTAGCTTTTTGGCAAATTCAATCAATTAATAGTTTATTATAGAGCTAAACATCAAATTATAAACCCTACTGTTAAATGATATAAATAAATAATATACAAAATAATAAGTAAACACAAATTAAAAAAAAAACATCAAATGATAAAAACTACACTTTTATTTCCATTTCATTTTTTTCCAAAAGGTTTTACATTCTAATAACTAAATAAATTAATAAATAAGTAAATAAAAAAAGTAAATACATAATTAAGAAAAATAAATTAATATTTAAATAAATAAGTAAATAAGAAAATACATAAATAAGAAAATAAATAAGCTAATAAATAAATAAAGTGAATAAATAAATAAGAAAAATAAATTAATATTTAAATAAATAAGAAAATAAGAAAATGCATAAATAAGTAAATAAATAAGTAAATAAATAAATAAAGTAAATAAAAATTAAATAAGTAAATAAATAAATAAATGAATAAGTGAATAAAGTAAATAAATAAGTAAATAAGTAAATACATGAATAAGTAAATAAATAAACTAATGAATAAATAAAGTAAATAAAGTAAATAAGTAAATAAATAAATAAATGAATGAATAAGTGAATAAATGACTAAGTAAATAAATAAAGTAAATAAGTAAATATATAAATAAGTAAATAAATAAGCTAATAAATAAATAAAGTAAATAAATAAATAAATGAATGAATGAATAAGTGAATAAAGTAAATAAATAAGTAAATAAAGTAAATAAGTAAATACATAAATAATTAAATAAATAAGCTAATAAGTAAATAAAGTAAATAAATAAATAAAGTAAATAAGTAAATAAATATATCAATGAATGAATAAAGTAAATAAGTAAATAAATAAAGTAATAAATGTAAATAAATAAATAAATGTATAAATGAATAAAGTAAATAAATAAGTAAACAAATAAATATATAAATAATTAAATAAATGAATAAGTAAATGATTAAGTAAATAAATAAATAAAGAAAAGAAATAAAGTATATAAAAATGTAAATAAATAAGTAAATAACTAAATGAATACAGTTGAAGTCAGAATTATTAGCCCGTTGAATTATTAGCCCCCTGTTTTTTTTTTTTCCCCAATTTCTGTTTAACAGAGAGCAGATTTCTTCAACACATTTCTAATCATAATAGTTTTTATAACTCATCTCTAATAACTGATTTATTTTATCTTTGCCATGATGACAGTAAATAATATTTGACTAGATATTTTTCAAGACACTTCTACACAGCTTAAAGAGACATTTAAAGGCTTAACTAGGTTATTTAGGTTAACTAGGCAGGTTAGGGTAATTAGGCAAGTTATTGTATAACAATGGTTTGTTCTTTAGACTATCGAAAAAAATGCTTAAAGGGGCTAATAATTTTGACCTTAAAATGGTGTTTGAAAAATTATAAACTGCTTTTATTCTAGCCGAAATAAAACTTTCTCCAGAAGAAAAATTATTATCAGACATATTATGAAAATTTCCTTGCTCTGTTAAACATAATTTGGGAAATATTAAAAAAAGAAAAAGAAATTAAAAAGGGGGGCTAATAATTCTGACTTCAACTGTATGTAAATAAATAAATAAGTAAATACATATGTTAACAAATAAATAAGTAAACAAATGAATAAGCAAATAAATAAATAAGTAAATAAATAAGAAAAAGTAAAGTAAATAAATAGGAAAATAAATAACTAAATAAGAAAATAAATAAAGCAAATAAGTAAATAAATAAGAAAAAAGTAAAGTAAATAAATAGGAAAATAAATAACTAAATAAGAAAATAAATAAAGCAAATAAGTAAATAAATAATTGAGTAAATAAATTTATATGAATAAAGTAAATAAATAAATAATAAAATTAATAAAATAAATAAAAATATCAACTAATTTATTAAGAACAAACAAAATCACAGTGCAACAAACAAACAAAAAAAAACTAAACAACATTTGTATTTAAAGAAATAAAGATAAAAAACAAAAATACACAAGAACTATCAATCTATCTATACATGAAAAGAAAAGGCAACATTGTTTATATCCATAATTATATATGTATTTATAGACATATTGTGAACTCACCGTGAGCCATTGCTTCTGAGGATACTCTCTCTTATTGTCAATGTGCAATAATACCACACCAATAAAAAGTTGAAGATTTCGTCTGTGACCCTGTGAACGTCACATCAGCCTATTAGACTCCGAAAGCACATTGACCTCCTCAAAACAAAATGAAATGAGTTATGCAAATCTCTTTCTTACCGGTAGTTCAAAAGGAAGAGGCAGGTGACGGCACCAAACATTAGGATTATCGTCATATAAAGTTTGAACTTCTCATATTCATCTTTGTACGCAAACCTGTGGAAAAAATTAAATAATAAAAATCAGCAATTCAGCATTGGGAAATCTCAATGCACACGCTCACGTCTGACTCACTTGGCTTGATTGCTGAGAAGTGTTACATTCACATTTCCAAGGACCAAATTTAGGTACAACCTGAAAAGAGAAGACCATTATTCATCATCAATAATATATCCATGCATGACATACAGTATTATTAGACCTGTCAATCACATGCGATTGACCAATAGCAGAGCAGAACAATACAACAAATTCCTATTGGACAAAATGTAAAGGTTGCACAATAAATGGTTTCAACAACAGGAGGAGAATGAGTGCATGTGCAAGAGTCCCATCGCAAATGTGCAATGTTTAATTGGGATTATAGTTTAACTATATGTATAAACCTTTACAATTTAACCACAATGGAGTGAATGATTTTCATCTGCATGTGTCTTTAAGGTATGTGACTGCATGTGTGAGCAATTCAAGAGGGTTTCAAATATTCAGACACAAGAAATTGTACTATTTGTAACTTTAAATAAGGTTATTTATTGGTCACACTTTACAATAAGGTTTCATCAGGTAATGTATTTACTAACATGAACTAATTATGTACAACACTACAGCATTTATTAACCATAGTTCAACATTACTAATGCATTGCTAACATCCAAACTCATGCACGTTTACATTAGATAATGCACCGTGATTTAACATGAACTGATGACGAACAACTGTATTTTCAATAACCAACATTAACTAACATCAACAAATACTGTAGTAAATGCAGTTTTCATTGTTTGTTCATGTTAGTTTATGCATTTATGCACTGGCGCCGTTGTCCTGTGGCTGCCGTCGCATCATCCAAGTGGATGCTGCACACTGGTGGTGGTGTGGAGAGACCCTTCTCATGATTGTAAAGCGCTTTGGGTGTATGGCCATTCAAAATAAATGCGCTATATAAATACACATTACATTACATTACCATGTGTTACCATTTTTTGACTACTGCTGTCAAATAAAAAAAATAATTAATTATATAAAAAAACATATATAGTGCAAACAAAATACAATATATAATATAATTTTATTATGTAATGTAATTGCACTCATTGTCTATACATATTGTGTGTATAGAGTAGAAGTCTACTTTATTAGCCCCTATTTACATTTTTTTAATATACACACACACACACACACACACACACACACACACACACACACACACACACACACACACACACACACACACACACACACACACACACACACACACACACACACACACACACACACACACACACACACACACACACACACACACACACACACACACACACACACACACACACACACACACACACACACACACACATATATTTCCCAGATGATGTTTAACAGAGCAAGGAAATTTTCACAGTATGTCTGATAATATTTTTTCTTCTGGGGAAAGTCTTATTTGTTTCATTTTACTGAAAATAAAAGCAGTTTTTTATTTTTTAAAAGCCATTTTAAGGTCAATATTATTAGCCCCTTTAAGCTACCTATTTTTTCAATAGTCTACAGAACAAACCATTGTTACACAATAACTTGCCTAATTACCCTAACCTGCCTAGTTAACCTAATTAAGCTAGTTAAGCCTTTAAATGTCACTTTAAGCTGTATAGAAGTGTCTTGAAAAATATCTAGTCAAATATTATTTACTGTCATCATGACAAAGATAAAATAAATCAGTTATTAGAAATGAGTTATTAAAACTATTATGATTAGAAATGTGTTGAAAAAATCTGCTCTCTGTTAAACAGAAATTGGGGGAAAAAATAAATAGGGGGGCGAATAATTCTGACCTCAACTGTATATATTGCATCCAAAATACAATATATAGTACAAAAATTTTATTTATATAATGTAATTACACTCATTGTGTATAATTATTGTGCATAAATATATATAATATAGGGTTGGGCAATGTCGACCAATTTGACATCGTACAATGTCTAATGTAAAACATTGTGATGGATGATGGCATTAGTGAATTAATTATTTATGAATAATTAATTAATACATAATTAATTAATGATTTGTAGCCTACCGTTTCAACTACCTGACCCGCACGGTCTGTTTTACCCATAACCAAATCATAAATAAACAAAGATAAAAGTTACACACAAATGACCACCTGTCAATCACTTTTTCTGCGGGACTCTGGCATGAATAGGCAGAGTGATCTGTGTCGTTATGATGCCGTCAACAAACTTGGTTGGTAAAAAAGGTGCACAACCAACAGCAACCAACCAACAGCATCTGAGCTTTTTTCTTATTTCAGGTTCATCTTTGCTCTGTTGTAATTATCTGTGCTTGTTAATCGATTCACTGACTTACAAATAATCTCAATCAATCTAAATATCAATGAATTCTTGCCATTATAGAGCTATTCAAGTCATCTGGTGAGATTGCATTTATATTGCAATATATATTGCAGAAAAAGTAAATATGATGTAGGATTTGTTCAATATCATGCAGCTCTACCCCACCACATTTCTTCTCACTCAAAAAGTTCATTTATTTTTCGTTAGCTTAGTCTCTATTTCAGAGGTCACTACATCAGAATGAACCGCCAACTGTTCCAGCATATGTTTTACGCAGTGCATGCCCTTCCAGCAGCAACCCAGTAATGGGAAATACCCATGCACACACAAACTACAAGCTATTAAGTTTGTTAAATTCCCCTATAGCGCATGTGTTTGGACTGTGGGGGAAACCGGAGCACCCAGAGGAAACCCACACCAACATGGGGAGAACATGCAAACTCCACACAGAAACGCCAACTGACCCAGCCGGGGCTCAAACCAGCAACCTTCTTGCTGTGAGGCGACAGTGCTACCCACTGAGCCACCGTGCCTCACTCAAAAATAGCTTGACTTAAAAATACATCATAATAGGGAAGAAAGGACTGTTGTGACTTCTGCTTCACACCAATTTTGAGATTGTAAAAAACCTCAAAACCAGACCACAGCGCTGTGTTCTTTAAAAATATCAGAAACAAAATGAAGAACTTGAACTCACCCGTTCCTCTTTGGCAAATAGGCCTCCATGTCAAAAAAGACATTCTGTCTTTCTTTAATTTGGACCTGCAGGTCATTTATCACCTCCGAATCTTTACCGTTGCAACTTTTCTTACACCTGTTGATAACAAAAAGAGGAAAAGGAGGGAATGTGTGATGACGCCCTGATGCACTTCAAGTGAACCTGAACCATGAACCGGCATTATTCAAAAGAAAACCAAGCTCAAATCAAACTACTTTGAAATGTGAAATAGCTTCTCTTTACAGAAATGTTTAATGTGGTTAGTAAACAACTTTAAATTCCTATTAGCCCATGGTGATGATGAAATAGGTGGGTGTGTCTCTGAGACTCCGCCTACTTTAAGCTAAAGGGCTCTATTTTGACGGTCCATGCGCAAAGTGCAAAACGCAGGGCGCAAACGCTTTCAGGACATGCCAGAATGTATTTTTGCTAATATAAGGACGGGAAAATCTGCTTTGCGCCATGGAGCATGGTCTAAAAGGGTTGAGTTTATTTTCTTAATGAGTTATAGGTGTGTTTTGAGAATAAACCAATCAGAGTCTCATCTCCCATTCCCTTTAAGAGCCAGCTGCATCACGGCATAAGCGCATTTGCTATTTACAGGACGCAAAGTAAGTGTAAGTGGAAAAACTGAGCATTTCACTAGCAAGAAAACAGTTAAACAGAGCATCTACTGCGCGAGAATGAGAGATAAATTAATAACTTTCACTTTCACTCTCGTGGACAGGGAAACCTTTATACAAAGACATCAATTAGCCTATAAATAATTAATTTTGTTTGTTTATCGCAAAGATTTGTTTCAAAACTATTTCTAAATTTAGTTCTAATTTCCAGCAAACGCATAAATGAACAATAATAACAAAATGTGCTCAAAAACCTGAGTTATATCCAAACACACATGCTGTGCCCCATATGGTCTAAAACCTGACAGGTGGACAAATCTAAGCTTGTTTTTATTAAAACAAATATAAACATGGATATAATAAATAATACTGCTAATAATAATAACATTACACAAAAGCAAATTGTTATGAATGAACTGAAAAAGCCTCCCGAAATAAAAGCAGTGGTTTTCATATTTATGTAGGCTAGAAAATAATATGTTTTGTAATATTTTAATCCTTTATATTTATATCCTATATATATCCTTATTATATCCTATATATATATATATATATGTATATATCCTTAATATTTTAATTATTATTTTTCATATGTAAAGATATTTGCGCATTGCTCTACATCTTGTGTGTATTAAGCAGTGTGTAACCAAGATGCAACTCTGCGCCGGAGTTTAGACCGGGTTTGTTTTGGTCTATTGAAAAATCTATTATAGTTTCTCAAAATAGCAACGCGCCAGCAGTGCGCCTCAGAACGCCTTCCTTTTTAGATCAGAACGCCTATGGGCGCACATATGAGCGCTAATGCATTTGCTATTTAAACAGCGTAGCGCAACGCCTCAAAACCACTCTTGCGCCAAGCTGAAACTAGCAAAAGACTACTGCGTCGCGCCCTGCGCCACATTGTGCCGGATGAATGATAGGGCCCAATATCTTCTCCAGCTCATTTCTTCCATCACCAAAAATATTAACACTGACTTAATGCAAATTTAAGGTGTATTTCGTATTAAATGTAAACTAAATTATAAGTTTAATTATGGAAAAACTATGCCAAAACAGCGTTCAGTATAAAGTGCATTATAAATAAACATGACAGGATTTGACTAGAGTGCTAAAAGTTTGTCAGAAATTCACATCACAACGATCAGATGCCTTCTGAACTGCTGTTTTCATTTTTATTCATTTTCTAATTAAGAACAAAACATGCAGCACATACAGCTGAAACCAGAAGTTTACATACACTGTAAAAAAAGGAACATAACCATTTAAAAAAAATGTCTGATGGTAAATCATGCTAACGTTTACTCATTTTAGGTCTGTTAGGACTACCTAAATGATTAACATTTGCTAACTGCCAGAATAACGAGATAATTTATTTATTTTTTTCTCTTTAGTAAGATCTGAAAGGGTGTTCATACTTATAAAGGCTCTGCTTGAGGTCTTTCAGGCCTTTTCTCTGTTTGCTAATGGCACTGCTGCATATGGCCTGCAGGTTCGTCAGCTCCTCCAGCTTCTGTCTGTAAACTTTGTGCGTTTCCTAAAATACAAATACACACCGTTAGTCGGCATGAAATCAAAATTGTTCCATAAAACATGCATGACCTTTCGGTGTGCCCATGACATCTTTATTTTAAGCAGGAGGCATTTTAATCACGGGTCACTCCATTACGGCTCTAAATTTAAACAGTCATTTTAACAAAGGTTGCTCTGGGATAATACCACAGTACAGTACTGAATGAAACCGCCATGATCAGGTGCATGATGTATAAACACTTAAATTTAACATCAGGTCAGAATAAGTATGTTACACTCAGTGACGTACTTTATTATACCTCAATATATTTTAAATTAACTTTAAGTGCATTTATTATTACTACTAAGACTGCACATTGCACAATAAATCATCTTAGCATCAATTTTGCAACGTGTTAACGAACGTGCAATATTCACATCGCAGAATCTGTAATGTGGAGTCAGGATTAAAGCAGGTACATTTCAGTTTAACCATAAAAATGAGTATTAGTTGTGCGTGCTTTAAGGCCTGTGACTGTGTAGGCATTTTAAATGAGTTTAAAGCATTTGGGCTCAAGGAATTATTGCATTTTGTAGCTTTAACAAACATAAATGTTATTTAATGATGCATATAATGAAGACTATATAACTTTCTTCTCTGTTTGATCATTTTATTTCTGTGCATGAATACTGTCAGACTCCATCATCAGAGTATGTACAGGAATCAGAGAGTGAAATACATTTAAAGACCTTTATTAAGACGCTTTCCATACATTTTAATGCACTTCACCTTAAAACCACTTGAATTTCAACTGGAAACAGATGTGAGATTTTAACGTACAGTATATTGACTAAATATTAATGTAAGAAACTAAACCAAAACTAAAACATTATTCATATACTGAATAAAAATCCAGTAGATCTAGAGAATTCAGCAGGTCGGCATCAATAGAACTAAAGACATAACGGTGTTTCCTGCAGTAAACAAAGCAGCATGATGTCAAATCTAGCAGGATTCATTGATTTCATAAACTACACAGCATCCTGATATTCGCAGATTTAATTCAGGCAAACTTTAGCATTCAACCATACCATAATCAAAAATTAAATAAAATTTGATAGCTTGCAAAATAGCATTTAAGACTTTATAATATTTATTTTATAATATAATTTAAGGGCCTTAAATTTCTCTACATTAATTGATCAGCTTTAGACTTCATAATATTTATTTTATAATATAATTTTTAAGGGCCTCAAATTTCTCTACAATTATTGATCAGCTTTTAATACTTTTTAAGACTCCGTGGACACTATGCATGGGACGATATCCAGTTTCAAGGATTACCGCGATTTGGAAAACTCAAGGTTTTAATACCGCTAAAATTATCTGTTATACCGTTCCAAGGTATATGTAAGGTTTATTTAATGTACTTTTTATTTGTTGTAAATACATCTGTGCTTTTAAAACTAATAAAGAGGGGAGAATTCAATGATTTATTTTAACTATTTAGCCTGATTTGTTTCCTCTTCCAAAATATTATAAATGTTTCCTAAAAGAAAATAAACTGTGTTCAATGGGGAAAAGGTTATGTTTTGTTTGTTTTACCCAGACATTTTAAAAGAACTTCTTTTACAGCAGCACACTCAATACCGTGAAACTGTGGTATTTTTATTTAAAGTTATCATACCATCAGAAACTTATACCAGACCATGCTTAGCGGACACCTTGTTCATTTATACCGTTCCTCTACTGTATTATCAATGCTGGAAATTAGTCTATTATATTCTCTGCAGATGCAGTCCTCTAAAAAATCTTCCCATCCTATATAAAGGTTTTAATAATATAAATAAAAGAGCTATAAATGTTATTTGGTGAAATATCCCAATATAAATTGCAGAAAATAAAAAATATTTCAACGTACGTATTTCCAATATCATGCAGCCCTAATTTGTACTACGTATATAAAACCACTTTCAGAAATTTTATTTCACCAAAACAACAAAATAAGACATCTCTCGTCTTTCTCCCATGTGTCTGGCGGTGTGATAACCTTGGATAAAAACATCACAGTATCACAGTATTGTGATGACTGCTCTAAAATAATTTCTTTTAAAATGTTCAATTCAATTCAATTCAGCTTTATTTGTATAGCGCTTTTACAATGTAGATTGTGTCAAAGCAGCTTCACATAAATGGTCAAAGAAACTGGATCAGGGTAGTTCAGTTTTTAGTGTTGAAGTTCAGTTCATGTCTGAGTAAAAAAACGACAACTTGAACACAATATACTTTGTTTTAGGAAAGATTTAAAAATTTTGAAACAGTTAACATGTCAGGGTAAATAAATCAAATAAATCATTGACTAACCCTAACTGCTGTCTTCATTAGTCTCAAAACTACAGATTTCTTTACAACAGTAATAAATTACTTTACATATACCTTAGATACGGTTTAGCAGATAATTTTAGCGTTTTTAAAACTTTGATTTTTCCAAACCGCGGTATACCTTGAACCCGGTTATCGTTCCATGCACAAAATATTTGAAATATTAAAATATTTAAAATATACAAAATTACATAATGAGCAGTATCTTAGTTCGTCTTTAATTAAAAAAAAACAAAACCTTTTTGAAATCGATTGCAACAAACCATTTAAGTTAACAAACTAATCCTAATGATTACTGTGAACTTAGATTTGAGTAAACAAAGCAATTTGAGCACAGTAAAACCCGATAAATAAAGAGAACTTAAACCAACTAAGTACTGTAAACCCAATAAGTTAAGGCAACTCAAACCATTTGAGGAAACTGATTGCTTCAAATCATTTGAGTTAAACTAATCAGTACTGTGAACGTACTCCATTTAAGTTGAAGTAATGAGGTATTTAATTAACTCATTACCTTTAACACTGAGTTCAAAACTCTTTTCAAATAAGTTGAATTGACTTTCAGTAAATGTTGAGTTAACGACACTCATTTCATTTGATAAAGTTGACTGTTGAGTTTTACAGTGTATTAAAGTTATATAAAATACTACAGTAAACATACTATAGTAAAATGTATTATACTATATTATAGTATTTACAACTCTTAATTAATGAATGCTACAGCATACTGTATATTTAACTACCAATATAAACTAATAAATATTATAGTACACTATATGGCTTAGTTTTACTACAATAAACTGGTATATTTGTTTAGTATAATACATATATAGTTATAGAAAACTCAGTAAAGTATTTGCTCATTTTTTATATTACTATAGTTGGTGTACAACTATAGTATTACCACAACGGATTCAATCAAGTTTTTTTACTATAGTATTGATCATAACACTATTGTATTGATTGTATTTATTGGCACATAATGTTCATTTTTTGTTTCCACATTATGAACTGCTTCCCTCTATAAGATTCTGACGGTATGATAACCTTGGATAAAATATCACGGCTTCATGGTATCGTGATTACTGCTTTAAAATATGTTGTTTTTAAATGTCTGGGTAAAAGAGAATAACATTTTCCCACACTGAATACACTATACATTATTTTAAGAAGCATTTAAACTATTTTGAAACAGTAGCTTTTGATGTTGATGGTCCTTTTCAGCTGGAAATACTGTTGTCTTAAAAAACTGAATAAAATAGTTGTAAAAAAAAAACATAAATAATAATAATTAAAAAGCTTACATATACTGTAGGAATGATATAACAAAGTTCTAGCGGTCTTAAAACCTTGACTTTTCCAAATCGCGGTAAACTTTGAAAACGGTAATCGTCCGATGCCTACTTCCCTCTTGTAGGAGATAAAGAGTCAAGTGTAAGCTGAACCGATAATAGAAATCCTTTGTAGCTGTTTCAGTGGGTTTGTTTAACAATAATTAATCTTAATTAGCATTATAATTATTGTAACTGCTGCATTTTGTTTTGTTTTTATTGTTTGTCTTTATGGAATGTCTGCAGCAGTATGGGGATGCCCATAACAAAATCCCTGTCAAGCACAATAAAGTTAACCACTACTACTACTTAGGCATGAGTCGATAACCTGTTTTCAAGGTATACCGCGGTTTGGAAAAGTCAAGGTTTTAAAACAGGAACGGTATTACAGAACATTTTGGCTAAGGTAAATATAAGCTTTTTTATTCACATTTCTTTTTTTTTTTTAAGAAAACAATATCTGCAGCAGAAAAAAATTCCAAAGATGCCGTTTTAAATTGTAAAAAAATCTGTGTTTTAGAAACTAATGTAGACGGCAGGAGTCAATGATTCAATTGAATTATTTAGCCTGACATGTTTGCTGCTCCAAAATATTATTAAAAAAAAAAATATATATATATATATATATATATATATATATATATATATATATATATATATATATATATATATTGTTTTCAAAGGGGAAAAAGTTTTAGTTTTTTACCCAGACAATTAAAAAGAACATATTTTAGAGCAGCAATCACAATACTGTGATACTGTGAAACCGTATTTTTATCCAAGGTTATCATACCGTCTAGCCCAGTGGTTCTCAAACTGGTATGTGTACCACTAGAGGTACGCGGGCTTACTTCTAGTAGTACGCAGAGGAATCACTGAGTAATGAATGAAAAAATTAATACATTTTTAGTAATTTCATGTGTACAATAACACCATTGTGATCAGCATTGGCTGTTCTCCAAAGCCTACGATCAAAGCGATGTTTAAAATGCACAATCCAAATGGCGCAGAACTAGAGAAAGAGGTGCGTGGTGCTTGCAGAGCAGATACATGCTAGAGCAGTGGTCCCCAACCCCCGGGCCGCAGACCGGCACCATTCTATAGATCAATTGGTACTGGGCCACACACAAAAAATTATTAATTATTTCAGTTTTATTTATAATCAGAGTCTGAACGATCATTTATTTTGAAAAATCTTTCATTTTGAAAAATGACTGTATTCTCTTGTTACATCTAGGTCACTTGAGTGCCAAAATTGAACCCACAGGCTAGCAAAATGAGTAAGAACTGCAGCACGACGCGCTTGCGTATTCCAGGCCTCCCCAGTTGAAAACATTTTAACTTTTCAGAATGCAGCACCGCGAGTCATGTGACAAGAACTGACTGATAAAATATTTTGTATGGAATATAATTTCGTTGAATGAATGACTCTGTCTCATTTTCGAACTGTGCAGTGCTTTAGCTGCTTAATTTAGCCAACTAGGCTACTTTATTTCAATATTGATGATTATGGTGGTACTTGGAGAGACCATTTTTTTCTGAGGTGGTACTTGGGGAAAATACTTTGAGAACCACCGGTCTAGCCCATGTCTACTACATAAGTTACTATAGTAATTTCCATGCGTGTTAAAAAACTCATCTTTGGCTTATATACAATATTTTTATATCAGATACAATATTAAATGTTTATTACATGGAAGTCCAAAATAATTGAAATAATACCAGAGTGCTATCATGAATTGTGTCCCAAAAACCTAGTACTCCCATGGTAATTTGCTTTAAAAGGCACTTTTTCCAAGGCATTCAAACCCCTGGAGCTTCATGAACTTTCTCTCATTCATTTTGAGCTTCATCATACTGTAATCTGACCTTGATATCAAGAATAGATCATTTTAACAGTTAAGCAACAACTCTTGGTTAACATCTAACCTAGTTTAACCAGTTACATTCGTGAAGCATTATCAGAATTACATCAGTAACACACCGAGTTCATTAAAACCGAGCAGATGTACAAAAACAATGCTTATTATTTTGTATTTCTACTATATATAATATAGAAAGCTGATACAGATTTAATTCACATGTACAGTAACAATAGAAATCAGTTCATCTGATGAGCTAAAGCCTGCTAGCCGCATCATAAACATCCCAAACACACACGACTGCTTCTTTAATAACTCATTAACTCATATTTTGGTTAACGAAGCACAAATATAACGTTTATCCGTTCAGCTCAAACCTGTAATTGCTGATATTCTTGCTCTATTTCTGTCCATTCACTTTGACATCTCTCCAGTGACATTGTACCCGTCCGCGTTAGCGCTGCTGTGCCGCTTAACTGCCGCTAGTAGGCGCTCCAGCGATTTATATAAGCTCCGCTTCCACCACGTCAGCCAATCACAGCCGAGCATTAGGTTCAGAGGATGACATCGCCATCTGACGACCGGGAGAGTCAGCGAAAATAAACATTAGAGAGTTCGTTGCTTGGTTACAGTACACTAATTATTTTTAAGAGGTTTAGTCGAGATCGACCATTGCTTGACAATTAAAGTTGATTTTCGTAGATAAATGGTTGATTTGGGTTTTTTTAAGCGGTCTGGACTGTAAAGGTAAGTGTTTACTAGGATTTATTTACTATATTTACACGTTTTAAATGCAAAAAGCTCTAGTATGCACCATATCTTTTTGTTTAATAGCTTTTGGTGAAGGTGAGGCATTATAAACACATCTGTTTACACTTTGTTATTCTTCCCAAAAAGCTTTTAATAAATAAATATGTCAGTAAATACCACGAAATTTGTGCATTTGAATAAAATTGTGTTTATATACCTCTTTAACATCGGTAGAATTAAGGCAGTAGAAATTGTACCGCATTTCTGTCATACACAAGCATTACTCTAATACACAACATTACTATAACCATTTAATATTTCTTATAAAATGAGCATTACGGAGTTTGCATGTTCTCCCTGCGTTCGCGTGGATTTCCTCCGGGTGCTCCGGTTTCCCCCACAGTCCAAAGACATGCGGTACAGGTGAATTGGGTAGGCTAAATTGTCCGTAGTGTATGAGTGTGTGTGTAAATGTGTGAGTGGATGTTTCCCAGAGATGGGTTGCAGCTTAAAGGGCATCCACTGCGTAAAAACTTGCTGGATAAGTTGGCGGTTCATTCCGCTGTGGCGACCCCGGATTAATAAAGGGACTAAGCCGACAAGAAAATGAATGAATGAATGAATGAAAATGAGCATTAAACTACCTGACAAAAGTCTTGTCGACTATTCAAGTTTTAAGAACAGCAAATAATAGCTTGACTTCTAGTTGATCATTTAGTATCAGAAGTGGTTTATATGAAAGGCAAAGGCCTCCAGATGACGCTTATTTGACCACAATAAAATATGATCATGCCTTGATTTTGCATGATTTCATTAGGACAGTAAGGTCTGACTCTGCTTAGACAAAAGCCTCATCACTGAACAGAAATAATGTCCAGTCTAGAATATAAAGTCCTGCTGCAGTGGAGACAGAATGAATATTGTGTCTGACTCCATCATGATCTTGGAGGACTGCATCCATACATCTCTGCACTGACTCAAATCACTGATTAATAAAGTCATCTGGAACGGCAAAGAAAGCGTTCCTGCAGGACTCCCAGAGTTCATCAAGACTCTTTGGATTCATCTTCAATGCCTCCTCCTTCATCATACCCCAGACATGCTCAATAATGTTCATCTCTGGTGACTGGGCTGGCCAATCCTGGAGCACCTTGACCTTCTTTGCTTTCAGGAACTTTAATGTGGAGGCTAAAGTATGAGAAACGACGTTTGTAATGTAATGGGCAGCACAAATGTCTTGATACCTCAGGCTGTTGATGTTGATCATCCACTCTGCAGATCTCTCGCACCCCCCCATACTGAATGTAACCCCAAACCATGACTTTTCCTTCACCAAACTTGACTGATTTCTGTGAGAATCTTGGCTCCATGGCGGTTCCAGTAGCTCTTCTGCATTATTTGTGATGATTGGGATGCAGTTAACAGATGATTCATCAGAAGAAAAAAAAACACCTTCTGACACTTTCACAAATGATCAACTAGAAGTTATTTGTTGCTCTTACAACTGGGATCAACAACAAGACTTTGTCAGGTAGTGTATATCTGTCCCTCTTTTCAATAAGAGTTTTAAAACAAAACATTTCCCACATAAAAAAATAATATAGTAACTTTTAGTAAACACTAAAGTGTTTTTGAACCATACCATTTCAAATTGTATTATACTGATCTGAAAAACTAATAAATACTATAGTATACTTTAGTTTTTGCTACAGTAAATTGTGAGGTATTGCATAAATTACTCTGTAGTTGAAAACTATTTGTTTATATTATTATAAATGTGGTGGCACGGTGGATGAATGGTTAGCTCTGTCGCCTCACAGCAAGAAGGTCGCTGGTTCGAGTTCTGTTTGGGTCAGCTGGTAGAATGTTGGAGGCTGGAGGAGTTTGCATGTTCCGTGTTGGCGTGGGTTTCCTTCTGGTGCCCCCCACAGTCCAAAGACATGCGGTACAGGTAAATTGGGTAGGCTAAATTGTCCATAGTGTATGAGTGTGTGTGTGTGTTAACCCTAACCCGGAGGAAACCCACGCGAACGCAGGGAGAACATGCAAACTCCACACAGAAACGCCAACTGAGCCGAGGCTCGAACCAGTGACCCAGCAACAGCACTACCCACTGCGCCACTGCTTCACCTACCACATACAGTTGAAGTCAGAATTATTAGCCTCCCTGAATTATTAGCGCCCCTGTTTATTTTTTTCCCCCAATTTCTGTTCTGTTCTGGGAAGATTGTTTCAGCACATTTCTAACCATAATAGTTTTAAAAACTTATTTCTAATAACTGATTTATTTTATCTTTGCCATGATGACAGTAAACAATATTTTACTAGATATTTTTTAGCTTAAAGTGACATTAAAAGGCTTAACTAGGTTAATAAGGTGAACTAGGCAGGTTAGGGTAATTAGTCAAGTTATTGTATAACTATGGTCTGTTCTGTAGATTAATGAAAAAAAAAATAAGTTAAAGGGGCTAATAATTTTGTCCCAAAAATGTTTTTTTTTTAATTAATAACTGCTTTTATTCTAGCTGAAATAAAACATATAGGACTTTCTCCAGAAGAAAAAATATTATCAGACATACTGTGAAAATTTCATTGCTCTGTTAAAAACCATTTGGGAAATATTTTAAAAAGAAAATCAAAATCAAAAGGGGGCGAATAATTCTGACTTCAACTGTACATCATTTGTGTATTACTTAAACTTATTTCTTCTTTTACTTATCTCTTCTTTTTACACGAAACATATTTTATCCTTTTGGCATCTTTGACATATTATTTGTTCGATTCCATGTGTATCTTTACATTTTATAACATAGACCCCCAAAAAATCAGTACTGCAAACAGCCATTAATTAAAATGTCATCATACCTTTCTCATTTGATGATTTGAAGTTCATCAAGACTCTTTGGATTCATCTTCAATGCCTCCTCCTTCATCTTACCCCAGACATGCTCAATAATGTTCATCTCTGGTGACTGGGCTGGCCAATCCTGGAGCACCTTGACCTTCTTTGCTTTTAGGAACTTTAATGTGGAGGCTAAAGTATGAGAAACGACGTTTGTAATGTAATGGGCAGCACAAATGTCTTGATACCTCAGGCTGTTGATGTTGATCATCCACTCTGCAGATCTCTCACACGCCCCCATACTGAATGTAACCCCAAACCATGACTTTTCCTTCACCAAACTTGACTGATTTTTGTGAGAATCTTGGCTCCATGCGGGTTCCAGTAGCTCTTCTGCAGTATTTGTGATGATTGGGATGCAGTTAACAGATGATTTTAGCCTACCTGACTTCAACTGTACATCATTCCTCTATTACTTAAACTTATTTCTTCTTTTACTTATCTTCTTTTTACACTAAACATATTTTATCCTTTTGGCATCTTTGACATATTATTTGTTCGATCCCATGTGTATCTTTACATTTTATAACATAGACCCCCAAAAAATCAGTACTGCAAACAGCCATTAATTAAAATGTCATCATACCTTTCTCATTTGATGCTTTTTCAATCACCTTTATCCTTATATTCCTTTAATAATATATATTTATACAGCTTTTTTAATAATATCCTGACAGTCTTTGAGAGTCTGTTCTAGACTGTTCCATAATTTCACTCCACATACAGACATGCACAAACTTTTTTAAGTTGTCTTTGTTTTCAACCTCCTAAAATCTCAGATTATACCCCCCTTGTCTTTCTTCAAAAAACTTTTGTATGCATTTCAGATTTATCCCTAGCTTTAAACATAAAGCAAAAACAACAATTTTGTATAAGTTACTATAGTATTTGTCATGTGGGTTAAAAGAAAAATGAATAAACCAAAAAATAAATGCTGCATTAATGAATATTATGAGCACACATCAATGCAATTCTATATCTGATTATTTCTTGGAGACAGTAAAATGCACCAATTGTGTGGAATCAATGAACCACACTGCAAAATAATGTGCACATTGGCACATAACAATCTAATAAAATAATATTGATGTTTTTTCAGTGCAGTATGCCTTATGTGAAAAGACCCCCGACCGCAGAACCGCTAGTGAAACTTTGGGACAGAAAGGCTCAAAAATATGGACTTCATCACACGGTGTATTCGGTCAATGGAGATCAATACACGGGCGAATGGATGGATAATAAGAAGCACGGTAATGTTTAATTGCTTGAATATTTAATGGCATGTTTTAAACATGGCAGGCCTTGAAGATCACAGTGAGAACAAGCCTCAATTGAACCGACTTTGATATTCTGATGTGCTCTGCAGGTTGTGTGTTTCTTAAATTAAAGTTTGACTAAGTAGAATGAGACCTCATTTTACCCTAAGTAAAGAGATAGTTCTGGTGACACGGTGGCTTAGTGGTTAGCACTGTCGCCTCACAGCAAGAAGGTTGCTGGTTTGAGTCCCGGCTGGGTCTGTTGGCATTTCTGTGTGGAGTTTGCATGTTCCGTGTTGGTGTGGGTTTCCTCCGGGTGCTCCGGTTTCCCCTACAGCGCATGTGTTTGGACTGTGGGGGAACTGAATAAACTAAATTGGCCGTAGTGTATGAGTGGATGTGAGAATAAGTGTGTATGGGTGTTTCCCAGTACTGGGTTGCAGCTGGAAGAGCATTGGCTGTGTAAAACATATGCTGGATAATTTGGCGGTTCATGCTGGCGGCCCCCTGATTAATATAGAGACTAAGCTGAAGGAAAATGAATGAATAAAGACATATTTCACCCAAAAATGAAAATTCTGTCATCATTTCCTCATCCTCCACTTGTTTCAAACTGGTTTGAGTTTCTTCCTTCTGTTAAACACAAAAGAAAATATACTCAAGAATGCTGAAAATGCACTTTTTTTATTCCTACAGTTGAACCTTTGCTAAGCTCCGCCCCCCTCCTTATTTACTGTTGCTATGCATGTCAAGCTTTCGTGCCTTACAGTATGTGTGCGCCGGTGTCAGACATTTCCAGGGAGATTATTGGTCATTTTTGGCAAACAGGTGAGATTTTTAGGTTAGCCAGACAAAAAAGGACTGCACACTGTAAAAAAAATCCGTAATTTTACAGTTTATTTCTGGCAGCTGGGGTGCCGGAAAAAAACGTAAAATAACGGCCGTTAAATTACGGAAATTTACTGTAAAATAGAGAAAATTTGAAATTAAATTACAGAAATTTCCTTAAATTTTAATTTCTGGTAAATTTCTGTTATTCAACCTCTGTTATTTTACAGTAGGTTTCTGTAATTTAACGGCCGTTATTTTACGTTTTTTTTTTTTTTTCGGCACCCCAGCTGCCAGAAATAAACTGTAAAATTACGGATTTTTTTTAACAGTGTAGTATACATTACAGGGGTATATTCATGACATAATATGCAACCGATAGAGAATGATTTAATTAAAATTAAAGCTAAAGCCTAGCCGCCTCATACGCTGACCATTCAACAGCTTAGTTCATGCACAGCAGGAGATACTAACCCGCTATAACACAGTCAATGACTAAATCTCCAAAAGTCAGATGAAAACATTGAGGAATTGACAGAAACACAAAGATTTAAAATGACTGAAAAACAGCTGCGGGTAAAGTATATTAATCGATATTATTAGTATAAGAGAAGTATAATTAGAAGTATATTAAACAAGTGCTTTTCCCAGAGATGGGTTGCGGCTGGAAGGGCATCCGCTGCGTAAAAACTTGCTGGATAAGTTGGCGGTTCATTCCGCTGTGGCGACCCTGGATTAATAAAGGGACTAAGCCGACAAGAAAATGAATGAATGCATAAACAAGTGCCCAATTTGTGATCATATCTCATATCTCTATTTTTGTTGAAATGTGATCCAAATATTCGGAGCTTGAAACATGGAAATATGATTAAATTGTGCAGCCCCCCACATGATTGATCAACGCCTGGCAAAAATTTCACCACCCCATCCAAACTTTTAGGATACCGGTTATCAGATTTACACAATCCATATGCAAAACTCTTTGGTTTGTTTCCCTTGCTCAAAAGCTTGACAGACCTCCCGCACCTATTTACGATTGCTAAGCCACGATTGGTCTGTGGCTGTTTTCGGGTGTGGCTCAGCGAAGGCTCAATTGATGTCAATGGTTGCTTTTTTCCAACATTCTCCAAAATATCTTTTTTTTGTTGTTGTAGAAATTTATTTATAAAAGTTTAGAATCACTTCAGTAATTGATGAGGAAATTTTCATTTTTGGGTGAACTGTCTCTTTAAACAACTGCTCACTAACGTACATCTTACTCTGCTAAGGAAAGGGAAAGCAGGTTTGGAAGAGAGCAGGAATAGTCTATGATGGAGACTGGAGGTGTGGAAAGCGGGACGGGTTTGGAACTCTAAGCAGGATGGACCCAGAAACCAAAGAGTATACGAGGGTTTATGTCGGGACTTGGAGGAATGACAAGAAGGAAGTAAGTAGCAAAGACACCTTATTGAATTACATGGTTTGCCAAATTAGGACATTCAATAAACAATGTTCCTTGGCAGGGCTTAATGGGGGCCTATTATGCAAATATCATTTTTATAAGGGGTCGTGTGGCAACAGTGTGTGAATATAAGCAGCTTCTAATAGTAAAAATTAATTAATTGTATTTGTTTATAATCACTCTTGATATAAACAGTCTGCAGAAACACTTTGATTGACATTCTCCATTTGTACGTGTCATCAGGGAAGGAAAGCCCCGCCCACTAGTGACCATCTCTCCCTCATTAGCATAGAACATTAGTCTTAATTTTAAATCTGCCTCTATGCTGACACATAAGCATTTGTAGCCCCGCCCTCTTTTAAAAAGAGCACAATCTCATTGGAATTTAAAGCGACAGTCATCAAAACGGCACAATTAGGATCAAAGCCTAAAAGGGTCAGTTTCAGAGAGTTATAAAACAATATCTGTGTGATATTTTGAGCTGAAACTTTACATACACACTCTTGGCACATCAGAGACTTATTTTACATCTTGTAAAAAGGGGCATAATAGATCATTTTTAAAAATGTGTTATTATTTGTCATTGTTTATTTCACAAAAATAAAGAAGATAGAAAAGCCATTTGGGTGACAAACTTAGGATTCAGATGCCTGTAGATCCACTTTTAGATTTAATGAAAACAAATGAATATTCTGTTATCAATTTCTCACCCTCAAGTCTCCCTAAAGACCTTTGTTTATCTTCTGAACACAAACTAAGATGTTTTAAGTGAAATCAGAGAGCTCCCTCATCCTCCATAGACAGCAAAATAAGTTCCAGACTTATTCAAAGTCTAGAAAAATACCAAAAACATCCTCAAAACCGACCATATCATGCCTTCAGGGGTTGAAACAGAATATTATCAAGCCACAAGTATAAAAATGTTGACTTTATAAACAGTTCTTTTTCTCCTCAGTGTCAGTATAGAGTGCATGCTCACATCACTTATGCGCTCGTCTGTATTACCATTATTTTTTTTCAATGAAAGATCAAAGATCAAAGATTATATTATCTAAATATTGTAATAAAAGATAAAAGGATCAGTTGGTATACACATTTATTTCCAATGCTTTTTTTGCTTATAGTTGAAGTCATAATTATTAGCTTTCCTGTGTATTTTCCCCCAATTCCTGTTTAATGGACAGCAGATTTTTTTCAACAGAATAGTTTTAATAATTTATTTTATCTTTGACATGATGACAGTAAATAATATTTGACCAGATATTTTTTCAAGACACTTCTATACAGCTTAAAGTGACATTTTAAGGCTTAACTAGGGTAATTAGGGTAATTAGGCAAGTCATTGTATAACGGTGGTTTGTTGTGTAGACAATTAAAAACAAATATTGCTTAAGGGGGCTAATAATAATGACCTTAAAATGGTTTTAAAAAAATTAAGAACTGCTTTTATTCTGGTCGAAATAAAACAAATAAGACTTTCTACAGAAGAAAAAATATTATAGGAAATACTGTGAAAAATTCCTGAATCTGTTAAACATCATTTAAAAAATATTAGAAAAAGAAATCTAATTTTGACATAAACTGTATAATAGCCAATATTTGTGACCGTGACTTTATGTCCGCATTTAAACTGCATGTCTGTCTTTCACTGGCAGGGTGCTGGGTCTTATTTCTACAGTGCATCTGCGTTTTATGAGGGCCAGTGGAGTGGAGATGAGAGGAGCGGATGGGGACGAATGCAGTATGAGAATGGAGAGCTGTATGAAGGAGAGTGGCTGAGGGACAAACATCATGGGGAGGGTTTGATTTTGCTAGGTACACACTTAAAACTGTTTGCAAAAGTTCATTCAAAATGTATATTTCTAATTTAATGTTTATATTATTGTCTCTGGGCACAATGTATTGTAATATATTACTGTGCATATATATATATATATATATATATATATATATATATATATATATATATATATATATATGTCAATATATGCAAAAATCGCGATAAAATATGTGCAATATATGTGTGGTAAATTACATTTATTTTGTGCATTGGTTATCTAAATTTGACCAATCAGATGGGGCCTTACGATCTTTAGCCCCGGCTTTAGGCCTGTTGGTTGGAGCAGCCCAAGAGTGAATAAAGAGCTGAGAATACTTATATAAATATACTTATAGAAAATAAAAAATAAAGACAACTGTCAATCAGAGTCAGAATATCTGCTTATTTTTTCAATCATTCATAGTGTCTTTTTAGTCTGAATTAGATTAATTAGATCTGGAAAAATATGTTTATTTTAACATCATTAAACAAAGAAATTATTTTAAAACATAATAAGATAGCATTTTTCTAGGGAAATGTTATATCGTAAGAAATATCGATATCGCAATACTCAACAACAATATTGCATATTTTTCCAGTACAGTAAAGCCCTAATCAAGTTTGTCCCAGAGTAAACAAAGATAAAATAAATGATATAAAAAATTAAATACAACTAAATGACAATGATCTCTATTACATATTACACAGAGAGAACAAAGCACAACCGCTGATAAAACACTGTCATGAAATGACAGACAGAGTCCAGACCTAAATATTATAGAGTCAGTGTGAAAATACATGAAGAGAGAAAAACATGACAGCTGATATCTAAATAATAATTTAGGAAGAGCTGAAAGAGGCCTGACACTACATAGCACATTATTTCAGAAAACTTTAAACAATTCAGGCTATGATTGATGCCAACAGAGATCACATTAAACAGACTTTTGCTTGAAGAAGTAATTTTGTTCGAAAAATGGTCTCCCGATAGAGCTATATGAAAATGCAGGTCATTTTTATTTTCTTTTTCAAATATTTCCCAAATGATGTTTAACAGATTCAGGAGTTTTTCCACAGCGTTTCCTAGAATGTTTTTTTCTTCTGGAGAAACTCTTATTTGTTTTATTTCGACTAGAATAAAAGCAGTTTTTAATTTTTTAAACACCATTTTAAGGTCAATAATATTAGCCCCCTTAAGCAATATTTGTTTCGATAGTCTACAGAACAAACCATCATCATACAATAACTTGCCTAATTACCCTAACCTGCCTAATTAACCTAGTTAAGCCTTAAAATGTCACTTTAAGCTGAATACTAGTGTCTTGAAAAATATCTACACTGTAAAACCCAAAAAGTTAGGGTAACTCAAACCATTTGAGGAAACCGATTGCAACAAACCATTTGAGTTCAAAAACTAATCCTGTTGAGTACTGTGAACTTACTCCATTTGAGAAAATGAAGCAATTTGAGCACAGTAAAACCTGATATATGAGGCAACTCGAACCGTTTGAGGAAACCGATTGCTACAAACCGTTTGAGTTAAACTAATCTATACGAGTACTGTGAACTTACACCATTTAAGTTGAAGTAATGAGCTATTTAATTAACTCATTACCTTCAACACTGAATTCAAAAGTCTTTTTAAATGAGTGGAATTGACTTTTAGTAAATTTTGAGTTAACAACACTCATTTCATTTGATAAAGTTGACTTTTGGGCATTACAGTGTAGTCAAATATTATGTACTGCCATCAGAAATGAGAAATTAAAACTATTATATTTAGAAAATCTGCTCTTTGTTAAACACAAATTGTGGAAAAATAATGAAGAGGGCACTAACAACTCTGACTTCAACTGTACATATTTAAGTACAGAGTAATATTATACATATAGAACTACTTACTATAGGGTTAGGATGAGCTGTAAGTTGCATGCAATTATGTGTAATTTATTGTTACCACTATAGTATGTACATTGAACATGCGTATCAAGGACACCATAAAAATAAAGTGTTACCTTATTTACTTTTCAGCATTTCTAAATTTGAATTGCATATATTTATTTATATGTACTCTGAATAAAGAAGCAGAACTATTTTTTACTCTTTTTGTAAAGCTAATGGAAACCGCTTTGTGGGCACCTGGAGTGATGGGAAGAAGAACGGACATGGCCAGTTGTTCTTCCTGGACAGAGGGCAGCTGTACGAAGGCTTCTGGGTTGACGATGTTGCTAAATGTGGAAGCATTTCTGATTTCGGAAGAGAAACAGCAGTCAGACCGACAGTCTATCCCATCCCCAAGGTTAATGATTATCACGGACATTTGCATAATTCCATATCAACAGTAGCGCATGAAGCAAATGCGAGCTTTTAGTCACAGGTTCTGACCAGCTTTAGTCTTATGGTGCAGGGGTATATTTTTGGGAATAGCCAAAAATACAGTGTATGAGTCGAAACGATTGATTTTACTTATATGTAAAAAAGTATTAAATATTAAAGAGGACCTATTTGTCCACTATTTATAAGATGTTAAATAGGTTATGTCCCAAGAGTGTGTGTGTGAAGTTTAATCTCAAAATACCACACAAGTATTGTTTTATAACTCTCTGAAACTGAACCTTTTAGGTTTCGATCCTAATTGTCGTGTTTTTTTGACGGTCGCTTTAAATGCAAATGAGATTGTGCTCTTTTGAAAAGAGGGAGGAGCTACAATTGCCTGCGTGTCAGCATAGTGGCAGATTCAAAAACAAGACTAATGTTCTATGCTAATGAGGCAGAGATGGCCACTAGAGGGCGGGGCTTTCCCCCTCTGATGACACCTACAAAGGGAGAATGTCAATCAAAGTGTTTCTGCAGACTGTTTATATCGAGAGTGATTGTAAACTATACAATCAATAGCTTTTTTTCTATTAGAAGCTGCTTATATTCACACAACTGTGTTTAAACCCTTTATAAAAATGATTTTTGAATAATAGGTTCGTTTTTGATGTGTAATATTCATTGCCAAGAGCTCCATTTGTTTATGTTTAAAGGTGATTTTCTAAATATTATTTTATTTATTATTAATATCGTTTTATTACTATTAAATTCCAGATATTAAAATGTCCTATTATTACAAACCCCAGATCAATGTGAAGCTTCATTATTCAGCTTGCTGATGATATAAACTCACCGGCCAGTTTATTGGGTACACTTGTCCAACTGCTCGTTTATGCAAATTTCTAATCAGCCAATCACATGGCAGCAACTCAATGCATATGGGCATGTAGACATGGTCAAGCGAGCATCAGAATGGGGAAGAAAGTTGATTTAAGTTTAAAAGACTTTAAACGTGGCATGGTTGATGGTGCCAGACGGGCTGGTCTGAGTATTTCAGAAACTGCTGATCTACTGGGATTTTCACGCACTACCATCTCTAGGGTTTACAGAGAATGCTCTGAAAAAGAGGAAATATCCAGTGAGCGGCAGTTCGGTGGGCCCAAATGCCTTGTTGATGCCAGAGGTCAGAGGAGAATGGCCAGACTGGTTCCAGCTGATAGAAAGGCAACAGTAACTCAAATAAGCACTCGTTACAACCGAGGTCTGCAGAAGAGCATCTCTGAACACACAACACGTCCAACCTTGAGGCGGATGGGCTACAGCAGCAGAAGACCACACCGGGTGCCGCTCCTGTCAGCTAAGAACAGGAAACTGAAGCTACAATTCACACAGACTCACCAAAACTGGACAATAGAAGATTGGAGAAACGTTGCCTGCTCTGATGAGTCTCCATTTCTGCTGACACATTCGGATGGTCGGGTCAGAATTTGGTATCAACAACATGAAAGCATGGATCCATCCGGCCTTATATCAACAGTTCAGGCTGGTGGTGGAGTAATAGAGTGGGGGAGATTTTCTTGGTACACTTTGGGCCCATTAGTACCAACTGAGCATTGTGTCAACGCCACAGTGTACCCATCTTCTGATGGCTACTTCCAGCAGGATAACACGCCACGTCATGAATCATGTCTCAGACTGGTTTCTTGAACATGACAATGAGTTCACTGTACTCAAATGGCCTCCACAGTCCCCAGATCTCAATCCAATAGAGCACCTTTGGGATATGATGAAATGGGAGATTCTCATCATGGATGTGCGGCCGACAAATCTGCAGCAACTGTGTGATGCTATCAAGTCAATATGGAGCAAAATCTCTCAGGAATATTTCCAGTACTTTGCTGAATCTATGACACGAAGCATTAAGGCAGCTCTGAAGGCAAACCGGTACTAGTAAGGTGTACCTAATAAAGTGGCCAGTGAGTGTAAATTTATATCTCAATATCCAAAAATGTACCCATATGGCTGGTTTTGTGCTCCAGGGTCACATATGATGTCCTTATGCATGTTCCTGCTGTAATGCTGAGTCTCAAATGCTGTTTTAATGTCCGCAGGTTTGCCTACAGGACTCACAGGCTGTGCTGATGGAGGCACAGGCATATTTCACTGAGGATGAGGAGAAGTCAGCAGAGATCACCGAGTCGGTTCATAAGCAGTATTCACCTTGAAAATGTCCTGAAGTCAAGAAAGGCAGACCTGTGCAGTGAAACACGGTTTATCAACGCCTCAGTCAGCTTACACTCACAATAAACACACACCATACATGAAAAAGCAGATGATACATTATGCATCTATTAACAATTTACAAAATGCTCATCTCAGCAGGTCACGCACACAATATAAAAGAGCACAAAAAAGTGTCTGGTTGAAGTGGATTTGATTAAGACTTTAATGTATAAAATGTGGGTTTTAGCACATGTAGTGTACTGATAAAAAAGAGCTGCTGAATCAAAGTTATAAAACAAAATATGAATATCATTTCAAATACTTTAGACAAAATGTCATTGTATTTCAATTTGGCAACACTGAACATGTTAAAGAGATAGATCTCCCCAAAAATTAAACTTCTGTCATCATTTACTCGCCCTTTACCTTCTGTTGTACAAACATTTATAAATAATAATGTTAAATAGGATATTTTTCCCTACTATGGATGCTGGTTTCCAACATTTTTCAAAACAAAATAAATGTATATATGTACACTACTTGACAAAAGTCGTCCCCTATACAAGTTTTAGGAACAGCAAATAATAAGTTGATTTCTAGCTGATCATTTAGTATCAGAAGTGGCTTATATGAAAGGCAAAGGCCTCTAGATGACACTTATTTGACCAATATAAAACATGATCATGCCTTGATTTTGAATGATTTCATTAGGACAGTAAGGTCTGACTCTGCTTAGACAAAAGACTCATCACTGAACAGAAATAATGTCCAGTCTGGAATATAAAGTCCTGCTGCAGTGGAGACAGAATGAATATTGTGTCTGACTCCATCATGAGCTTGGAGGACTGCATCCATACATCTCTGACATGACTCAAATCACTGATTAATAAAGTCATCTGGAACGGCAAAGAAAGCGTTCCTGCAGGACTCCCAGAGTTCATCAAGACTCTTTGGATTCATCTTCAATGCCTGCTCCTCCATCTTACCCCAGACATGCTCAATAATGTTCATGGCTGGTGACTGGTCTGGCCAATCCTGGAGCAGCTTGACCTTCTTTGCTTTCAGGAGCTTTGATGTTGAGGCTGCAGTATGAGAAGGAGCGCTATCCTGCTGGAGAATTGTCCCTCTCCTGTGGTTTGTAATGTAATGAGCAGCACAAATGTCTTGATACCTCAGGCTGTTGATGTTGCAGATCTCTCGCACACCCCCATACTGAATGTAACCCCAAACCATGATTTCTCCTTCACCAAACTTGACAGATTTCTATGAGAATCTTGGGTCCGTGCTGGTTCCAGTAGGTCTTCTGCAGTATTTGTGATGATGGGGATGCAGATCAACACATGATTCATCTGAAAAATCCACCTTCTGTCACTTTTCCAAATGATCAACTAGAAGTCAGGTTATTATGCAAAATAACTGGGATCAATGACAAGCCTTTTGTCAGGTAGTGTTCTGTATATGTGTCTATACTGTATATGTACCGATAGACAGATGTAGATATTTTGCAAGATACTTAGTTCAGCTTAAAGTGTTATTTAAAGGCTTAACTAGGTGAATTAGGCATTATGTAACAGTGGCTTATTCTGTAGATATTTTAACAAAAATATTGTTTAGGGGGGCTAATAATTTTGACCTTAAAAAAATAAAAACTGCTTTTATTCTGGCTGAAATTAAACAAATAAGACATAGCATTATAAGAAATACTATGAAAAATTCCTTGCTCTGTTAATCATCATTTGAGAAATATATATTTGTTCAACAGAAAAAAATAAACTCAAACACCCCTGTAGGGTGAGTAAACACCGAGTATATTTCGTCTTTTGGGTGAGATACTCTTTTAAAGTGGCATTTCAGCTAATTTTATAAACCTTTACTGCACTTCTGCTTCACAAACACTTTGTTTAATCCTGCAATCCTGCTAGTTCCTCAGCCGTGACGGATTTAAGTACTCGCATCCAAACCTCAGGACCAACTGAGGCCCCTTTAATGGGAATCTGTTTCAAATGCTACCAAAAAAGGTCAAACATGTTGATAAAGTGCCTTTGTTTCTACTAAAGATGTGCTCACATACACTGGGGGGCTCATTTAAGAAAACAACAGAGTTTGAGTAAGACGTGTGTGTGTGTGTGTGTTTTTTTTTGGTTTTGATTCTGCTGTTAAACAGCAAAGCCCTGATTCAGAACGCATTAAACTCATTTGGTCAAGTGGACATAAAAGTGTCCCCTGCACTGTGGTAACTTCAAAAACAGACTCTGATCAGTGTTTAAAAAGAGATTGTGTAATGTACACGTGTTTTTAAGAAAGTAATGGAAAGCAGTTTCTGCTACAGAATTAGAAATCCAAATTTTGTATTTATTATTAGCTCAGAATCGTGAATGAAGTAACAAGATTTAAAACAAAATAAGAACTTGAAACTGTAATATATATATATGTTTAGAATTCATTCATTTTCTTTTCGGCTCAGTCCCTTAATTAATCTAGGGTCGCCACAGCGGAATGAACCGCCAACATATTCAGCACGTTTTACGCAGCGAATTCCCTTCCAGCCGCAACCCATCACTGGGAAACACATATACACATTAATTCACACACATACACTACAGCCAATATTACCTTACCCAATTCTCCTTTAGCACGTGTGTTTAGACTTGAGGGGGAAACCGGAGCACCCGGAGGAAACCCACACCAACACGGGGAGAACATGCAAACTCCACACAGAAATACCAACTGACCCAGCCGAGGCTCAAACCAGCGACCTTCTTGCTGTAAGACGAACATGCTACCCACTGCGCCACCATGTTTAGAATTGCGTTATGTAAACTAAATTTCACTCAAAAAATTATGTTTACTGTTTGTTCAAACTACTTATTTAAAGTATATCTTTTAAAACTCAATTCTTGAGTTTTTTTGGGACAACTTAATTGTTTTATGTTCAATCAACTTAATTATTTTTTTTAAATCGAATAAGAACTTAATTCCTTCATGTTTTCCCAACACAAAATTCAAGAGTTCCTACTTAGATAGGCTTAGCGTTTATAGCAGGTTTGCCATGCTGTCCCGGGAGAGAACCCTGAGCTCGGAGATATTTGAGCCCGGGGCTACAGCCCGTCAATAAGCTTATCAGGAGATCCGAGATCAGGTAGGTATCGAGAGCTCCCCCTTTAGAAAAGGGAGGAAAAGGAGGAGATGGGGTGGAAGGGGGGGATTCTTTCATAACGAAGATAGAGCAGTAGGGAAAAAATGATCCATTTATAGTAAACTAGGATCACTCTGATTGGATTATTACTGATTACAGATGAGCAGCCAGTCGTGCTTAATCATATCACGTGCTCCTCTCGAAATTAATTTGTGAAACTTCACTGTGGAACTAAGCTTTTTTTTTTTACAGTGTAGCAAGATATGAACTTTAGTAACTGCAAGATTTTAACTAGGAATTCATAGAAAGGAAAGGCAGAACTGCAAGATATAAATAAACTCAGAATTTTGAGAAATAAAACTCAATTTGTGAAATGTTAATGTTAAAACTGATAATTACAAGAATTAATCACAATTGTTAGATTGACTTTTGCTGCTTGTTCAAACTACTTATGTAAAAGTTATTTTTTTTATTTTCAAACCACTTTAATTGGTAAAAAGAATGAAGTTCATTAATTAGTTATGCTTTAATTGGTTTGTGTTTGGACAACATGAAGGAATTGTGAGGAACCCAGCATTTTACAGCGTTGAAACTTGGGCTGGCACAATACTGAAATTTTAAAAACATCCATTTGAGCACGTTCTTAAACGGCGCTGATATGCCATTGTGTTCACGTGCTCAACAGAAATGACTGTGATTGGCCATGAAGGTCATCAGTTCACCAAACTCCCGCTGTTTACTGAGTGTGAACAGATAAAGGGACACTGGAGCATTTTAAAGCTGTGAATCATCAGCGGATCTCTTTTATTTTAGCTTATAGACAAACCAGCTGATCTTCACGACTTTTAAATGCTCCAGTGTCCCTGTATCTGTGGTTACACAGTAAACAGCGGTGAGTTCTGTGAACTGATGAGCTTCAAAGCCAATCACAGCCATTTCTGTTGAGCACTTGAACACAATGAAAAATATATAAGAACGTGCTCAACATCGCTCAAATGTTAGCGGGAAATGGACGTTTTTAAAATTTTGTATCGCTTGGCATAGAATTCCAGTGTCGTGACAACATTAAATAAAACTGCAACATATAAACCGGGAAGTCTGAAAAACTCAATTATGCGAAGAAAAATTTTTGACTCAAAATATTGATAAAACCGAAAATCCAAAACAAACTCTGAATCAGGAGGTATCCTGAGCTGTGGGATCTGAACTTGTAACTGACACATAGGTGGCGCAGTAGGTAGTGCTGTTGTCTCACAGCAAGAAGGTCGCTGGTTCGAGCCTGGGCTGGGTCAGTTGACATTTCTGTGTGGAGTTGCATGTTCTCCCATGTTGGCGTGGGTTTCCTTCGGGTGCTCCGGTTTCCCCCACAGTCCAAAGACTTGTGCTATAAGGGAATTGAGTATCTTTAAAAGATATAGTGGGGGAAATAAGTATTGACCATTGACATTAACGTCACCATTTTTCCCCGAAAACATTTGTAAATGTAGTGGTGACTTGGAAAATTTCCCTGGATGTTAGTATCAACCAAATAAATCCATATATGCAAAGAAAACAAAACGAATTAGTTTACAAATGAAGTTCTGTGTAATAAACTAAAATGACACAGAGAAAAAATATTGAACACATGAAGAAAGGGAGGTGTAGTTTGGTAGTGAAGGCCCAGACAGCAGCTGAAATCTCTCAGTAGTTCTTCAGCAACTCTCAGCCCTTCCTCAGTGTAAATCAGTGATCACCAAACTTGTTCCTGGAGGGCCGGTGTCCTGGAGATTTTAGCTCCAACCCTAATCAAACACACCTGAACAAGCTAATCAAGGTCTTGCTTGGTATACATGAAACATTCAGGCAGGTGTGTTGAGGCAAGTTGGAGCTAAATCCTGCAGGGACACCGGCCCTCCAGGACCAAGATTGGTGACCCCTGGTGTAAATGAATATCAGCTGCTTCTGTCCAACATCCACATTAGCAGGAGGATGAAGATGAAGCCAGGGTGGACATTTCAGCAAGACAATGATCCAAAACATAGCCAAGGAGACTCTCAGAGGCTTTCAGGGAAAGAAAATCAAGCAGTAGAATGGCCCAGCCAATCACCTGAACCAAATCCAATAGAAAATCCTAAATAAAGCTCAGATTTGATAGACGAGACCCAAAGAACCATCAAGATTTTGACTGTTGAAGTCTGTGAGAAACCAGAGCAATGCATGAGGCTTCATTCTCCAGATGAGAGGCGTTTTTATGCTGCCATCACCAACAAAAGCCTTTTCTATATAGTATTAAACACGTTTCAGTAGATCAGTGCTTTCTCCTTGTGTCATTTCATTGTTATTACACAGATCTCATCTTTCAGATTGTTTTTGTTTTTTTATTTTTATGTTTGTATTGTTTGAGTTTTTAACAATATCTAGTTAAATTCCACGTCAACGGCTCCTTTAGAGATATTATTCCCAGAAAAAAACATGACATGTCTAATACTTATTTTCCCCGCTGTATAGTTTTGCATTCTGTGGCAGAAACTAGCTTTCATTTGATGTAGCTTGCCTTTGTGAAAACCAAAAAAAAAAAATATGCAGGTAGCAAAACTGGCACAGCTGCCATACAGAAATGAAGGATATTACCCCCCGTGGTGAATTAAGAAGAGAATAAAATACAAATAAAAAATGTATATCCATAAAACATGCAGTGCATGCTGTCACAGTGTACAAATCCTAAACGCATAGAAAACCGGACGCTCCAGGGTGTCCACATGCAGCAGACAGACCGATACTACAGTCAAAAACACAATGTGTCGCAACATTTAAAATAAACACGAACAGAAGCTCTCAAAACTCAAACTAGGGATAAAGAGAACCGGGAGACTGTAAAGTAGACACCTCTTCCCTGTGGTCCAGCTCGTTCTGCAAGTCCTCCAACTCCTCCAGCTCCTGAAACTGCCGGTCAGTCTTATGGCTGACCAGAGAACGGTAGAAATGCACAGCGAACACGATAAAAACCAAACCGAAAGGCACCATGATGGAGGTAGAGGTGATGGCGGCGGCCACTCCGGCAGACACAGTGCCGTTTTTCTGGTCCTTGGGCTTAATGGGTAAAAACTTGACCCAGCAGAGCAAGACGACCTCCGCCAGGAAGAGCAGCGTCCCGATGACGGTGGAAAAGGCCCAGGCCAGCTCGATGTGGCGGTGCATGCGCTCGTGTGGAGACTCTTTGACGGAGTTCAGGTTGTGCACGTTGCTTACAGCCTCGATGTTGGGCAGGATGCAGGTGCTCACCATCAGGGCGAACAGGTGAACGGCCACCAGCACCGTGGTGCAGGCGCTGAACGCGATCAGCAGACCTGGGGGATAGTCATGATTGGTGTCCAGCTGGACCTCCACCATCGCCACCTGTTCCAGTGGAGAGAAGAGGATGATGATATATTTTTGTTTAATGCCATGGCAGCAACGAAGGCTATTTTCATGGCAAGAACATTTCAAGGTACACATGCAATCTAAACTAGCCATATTGATTTTGTTAGCTCACACTGCTAGTTTTGTGGTGAACAATTCATCTGTGCAGTTCATTAAGAAACAAACATAATTTGCCCTTGTTATCGTTGAGGGAAATTTGCAAATGCATTTTTGTTTGTTTTCAGTTATATTAGGTCTGTCTGAGGTATTGGGAGTGGCCAACACACTTAACCACTCCCCTCTAGCTGTCAGTTCTATGACAACAAGCAGAAATGGTGACCAGGAGGAGTCTGTTAGGTTGTAATAACTCTCCCCAAACCCTTTTCCCCACCTTTCTGAATGGAACGCCTACTTTGCTACATCCAATCAGCTCGCGACAGAAAAAACAAACCACGCCCATTGTTTTCCCATTTAATATTACGTTTCTCTAGGAGCTGCATCACAAAAGGTTTATGCGGACTTTAATAAATATACAATTAAACAACAATTCAATGGATAGCATAGGAGAGAAGAGGTACAGAATGCATGAAATATTTGGTTGTCGAAAACTATTGGTTGACATTTTAGGCCAAAAGATAATTAATCAATCAATCAAATGCAGCACAAAAAATACACGTGCGATTTTCATTCATTCATTCATTTTCTTGTCGGCTTAGTCCCTTTATTAATCCGGGGTCACCACAGCGGAATGAACCGCCAACTTATCCAGCAAGTTTTTACGCAGCGGATGCCCTTCTAGCTGCAACCCATCTCTGGGAAACATCCACACACACACACTCATGCCCAACATTTTACATATGCGACCTCAAAATATATTTGGGAGCATTTGTGCGAGTGCAAAAAATTGTTGCGTGCGACCAGTTTTTACTGCAAAATGTTGACCACATGCGCGGATTCGGGAGACATTCACGCAGAAACGCGAAACGCAGCGCTCAGGAATAGTTTAAAACAGTTGTCATGTCAACTTGCTGCAGTAAACAAAGCCAAGTCCGTAATGCTTGCCCCGCCTTCACGCTCTTCTTATTGGCCTACTGCTCTAGCTCTGAAATATCAGCTGTCAATCACTCAGCGCCTTCTGGCGTCGGATGACAGAGAGAGCTACTACCGTGAAAAACTGTAAAGCGCTGAAGAGGAGAATGAAGATAACACTGACAGATTTTATTTTAGAAACCATGGCATCTAAAGTTACAAATAATGACACATCTTACTAGTGATCATGTGCTAAATGTAAATCCAACATCTACATTTTTCGAGTGGATAAAAGACTTCCGTTGGCTTCAAGTCCGCTATGAAAAGTCTGTGGGATGGAGTTTTCAGGGAACTGCGTGCCACATCTAGCACGAGAGATTAAGTTTAATCCTTCATATAATCACAAGATGCTGACCGCCATGCAAGTGCAGGGGCGCCCCCAAGGGGTGGCCACGGCCACCCCTCGGTAAACTCTGGCCACCCCTGTGGCCACCCCTATGGCCACCCCAATATAATTTTGCTGTTGACATTATTGATTTAAATGAACTTATAAATTCCCAATATTTAAATAAATAAATAAAATGCAGTCACTAAATTATTGTTGGTGTTACTGACGTAGCTCTCCCCCTCTGGTTCAATGCTGGTGAAAGCAAACTGACGCATGCGCGGAGAAAACCATTCCCGCGCGCCTCACGCACTCCTGTGTGAATCCCGGTTGGTTGTTTGCATGCCAGCCGACAAAATAGGCACCGCTCATGCGCCGTGAAACCGGAGTAACAGCCTTTTGTGCAGAGGTGTCGGCACGCAGCGAGTTTTGAAAGTCGACTAAAGTTTATACAAAAAGATGATGATGATGATGATGATGATGTTACTTTCACTAAGCATGCCTTTAAAGCAGAAAGGAGGGATAATGAGTCAGGGAGGTAAGACTTCATAACATGATTTATCAGCCATGATCTGGTCTAAGACCACAGATAATCTATAATACATTTTTTGTATTCTTTAGAATTGTCATGATTAACTTTCATGCAAAAGGTTTCTTAAGTGATCTTGGCATATCACTCCAGTTGTTGTTTTCCAGTAATATTTAGGATTGATTTCTGTTATTTATTTAGAATAATAATTGTATATTAATATTAATTGTATTTATTTAGAATAAATATAAATAATTTGTTATATTTATTAAATAACAAATCTAACAATTCAAGAGAGGTGGGGGGTGTATAGGGTGGTTCGCCCAGGGTGTCATTTAAACTAGAACCACCACTACCCTCCCTGATTGTCGTTGACAGCACGCACACACCTTCAATAGACAGCAATGGCTATTTAATATTTACCTTAAGATACAGTATATCAATAGAAGAAGCTGCATTAAATGGCTCAAAAAGCAATATGGATAAATGATATTATTAGTTATAGTGAGTGTGTATAGTAATGCCTTTTGTTCAGCTTGTTCATTTGTTAGGGTAATTAATAAACTCATTATTCTTTCATTCATTTTCTTTTCGGCTTAGTCCCTTTATTTATCCAGGGTCACCACAGCAGAATGAACCGCCAACTTATCTAGCACATTTTTACACAGTGGATGCCCTTCCAGCTGCAACCCATCACTAGGAATAATAAACACATTGATCTTCATTAATTTTAGACATGGCATATCTCGTATGATGTACAATAAAAGCACGTAAAAAAAGAAGTTATTTATACAGTATATGAAAAGTGTTTTTAAACTAAACATAGATGTTTTTTTGGTTTGACCTTGTACTTGCTGAATTAATTTAAGGAATAAATAACAATATTTCAAGAAGAATTAATTAAATGAATAAAAACTACGTTAGTTCATTTACCAGAAACAAAAATATAACATTACACTGAATTCACTATTTTTTTTGTGTGCCACCCCAAGATTTGGTGCGGCCTCTTCTGGCCACCCCTAAGAAAATTTTCTGGGGGCGCCACTGTGCAAGTGGCAGCTATATGTCAAATTTAACACCACGTACACCATCGCAAACGGGCTTACACTGAGTAAACTAATATCGCTACTCATGAAAAGTATTGCTATTAACATGACGTATGCATATAATAAGGTACAGTATATGTCAAAAACATCAGTGCAATATTAGACAGCACCCGTGAGAACAAAACAGTTATACCGTTAACAGATTCATTCATGATAACGGGTTTTTTGTTGAGACATATTTTCCTCATGCTTGCATATATATATTTCTTGCTTGTTTGTTTGATTACTGTTTATTTTAAATGCAATAAATATGTTTGTATAAAACTTGTAGTAACGGTGCTTATAAGTGCGACTAAATTGTGACTGATGCGCCTAAATTTTTATAGTTAGGAGCACCGGTGCTACCAAGCAAAAAGGTTAATTTCGAGCCCTAGATGGTCACATGACCTTCATGCATTTTTAATGGAGAATTATTTAAACATTACAGCATTCATACAGTGATTTATTGTTTTTCCCCTTTTCAAAATATAAACGATGAATAAAAACATTATAAATATATATTGCACAATATAAATAAAACTGATTTTAATACGAATTTCAGCAAATAAACACACTTAATGTGTATATTCTTTTATTAAAATGTCTATGGTGATGTTTATATTCACCGTTTCATTTAGGTAAGCTCCTGAGGTAAACAAGTGATATCTCTGAACTTTAATAATGAATCTATTTAAAATGCTGGGCTTCCCACCTCCAGTCACAATGACTTCTGGGACTTCTAGAGCCAGTTCTGAGCTCAAGTCTGCATCGGTGCGTCCTCGATATCAAGAACACATTCCGGAAGTTTAATGCATCCTCTGTTCTTGCGGTCTTGAGTATTGGAACTGAACTTTGGCGGTTGATGATGACGTTACACGAGAACACGAGGACGCAAGACCGCTAAAGAACGCATATTGAGAAACAGCCTATGCTACTGTTTATTTAAAGCCTCTTAAACATTGTAATCATTTTTTCAAAGTATTTGAAATTAAATAATTATATAAAGAGGTGGCACGGTGCCAGAGTGGTAAGCACTGCCACTTCACAGCAGTCCCGGCTGGGCAAGTTGGCATTTCCGTGTGGAGTTTGCATGGTCTCCCCGTGTTGGCGTAGGTTTTTTCCGGGTGCTCCGGTTTCCCCCACAGTCCAAACACATGCGCGATAGGGGAATTGGATAAACTAAATTGGCTGTAGTGTACGAGTGTGTACGGGTGTTTCCCAGTGTTGGGTTGCAGCTTGAAGGGCATCCTCTGTGTAAAACATATGCTGGAATAGTTGGCGGTTCATTCCGCTTAGGTGATCCCTGATAAATAAAGGGACTAAGCTGAAGGAAAATGAATGAATTAATAAAGATATAAAATCTTATAGGTTTTACAGCTCGGTGCAAATATGATTAATCATGGAGGCCTAGATGATTTATTTTTATTTAATGCCATGTCAGCAACAAAGCCTATTTTCATGGCAAGAGGATTTCATTAATAAATAATTAAATACAATTAAACACAACAATTTAATATACAAACAGACACATCAGTGGAGAGAGGTACTGAATGCAATACATTTTGGTAGAAGGAAACTGGTTGAAAATTGCATTTTGGCCATAAGAGAGTAAATTCATTCATTAATTAAATTGCACATGCACTTTTGTAGCAGCATTTTTGGTTGTTGGCTAAAAGACAGCACTGTAGAGAGATTAGTTTCTGTCAATAAAAGATATGAAATCAGTATCGGAGAATCATTTAAAATTAATAATTCAGATATTATAATAAATAAGTAAATTAATTTATACATGTTTTTTTGTTCAAGCAAAAAAAAAAAAAAAATTCATTAAATGTTTTAGAGGTTCATCCCAATTTATGATATGTGTGATCTATGGTGCGATTAACTTGAACATTTTGTGTTTAGATACATAAATTGTTTATTTAGTTATTCCTTTTTTTATTACTTAACTTGTTTAACAAAACTAAAAGGTCCTTTTACATTAAATTTAAATTGAGATATTTATTTATGTGGTCTATGCATTGAGATTGATGTGGATTGTATTTAGTCAAGTGATTAAATTAAATTTTAATACAATTGTAATGACGTAATTAGTAGTCAAATTCATTTTGAAAGTAACTCACACAATACTGCAAACTAGTTAGTTCAACTTTCATCATTTGATAATTTTTTTTTCACAGCAAGGTTGACATTTGCTCGTATCCGGTTAATATCCGGCGTTTTGTTTCTCGTGAGGCTCTTTATGAACAACATCACCGTGTGAAACAGCAAAAGTGCCCTAAATACTAGAAGAGATACAGCTGCAGACGGAAGTTAACGATAACTATTTATATTATTTATTAAATACCTATTGATTGGATTTCATTAACGCCTACCCCTATTATCACATTAATACAAAAACAGTAATAATAATGAGAATTATTAACATTATTTATTAAATGACCCATTCAAATGTATTTTATTAACGTCTAGCCGTATTCAAACCGTAAACCCAACCGTCAAAATAAAGCAAAAACACCAATTATACCAAGTATTGTTCATATAATTAATTAAATTACCCATTATATTGTATTTTATTAGCGTCTACCCTACCCCAACCATCACAGCAATGTAAAAACACTAATTATACCAAGCATTTTTCATATTATTTTTTACATTACCCATCAAATTATACTATATTAAAGTCTACCTCAACCCAACCCCTCACATTAATGTAAACATATTAATAACTGCTGTACATTGTCACAAAAACTATGCCATTTTGATGCGAGTCTCCGCAGCTGTATCCCTTTTAGACTTTAGCAGAGCATTATAGCATTAGCACAAGCTAAACAACTGTGGCTGTCAGTTTATAACTGCAGATGCGAGTCATGTGACGTCTGACACCAAAAAGCTTCTGATATAACTTACAAAAACACCACCAAACAGTCGCTATTTGCTAAACAACTCGCTGTGTTTACTGCCAGAGCCGCACCGTGCACAAATAAACAGCGCGGAGACTCACCATTGCGAAGCCGGATAAAAGCGCAGACGTGCGGCTGGACGCCTTGAGTTTGGCTCTGCTCAGATACAGCTTCCTCCAGGACAGAGCCTGTAACGAGTGCTCGCTCCGACTCATCTTCATCCGGCCAGAAACAACAAAAGCAGAAAGTGTCGGAGAGTTTCAGCTGGAGAGAGGCATTGTCCGACAACAGTCTGTCAGCTGTTCGCTTCTGAGAGTTCAGCTGAAACTGGATGCAGTGAACGGATTTCCCACAAGCCTCTGCGGCGGCACCGACACTTTTTTAAAGGTCTCGTGAAATTAAAATACATATTTCTTTCTTTTCTTTTCTTTTCAGTTTATTTTCACACTCCTCCTGTCCTAATGCAACAGCCATTTAGTTAAAACACTCATATGCTTTACATGTTTGTTTCTATGTTGTTTATATTGGAAACTTAACGGTTTGTAAACATCCAGGATGCGCGCGCAGCGAGGTTGCAGAAAAAAAGCGCTAGCATTTACAGCGAGGGGATGACATTTGATGCGGTACAAGGTTTGTTGTTGTATTAGAGATAAGTTATATTGATTACATTTTATATATATTATTTACATAATGCTTTCAGCGTGTTATAACAGCTTGTCACCCAGTGATAAGCACAGTTATTCAGCAAAATCAACGTTTACAGGACGCAAAGTAAGTCTAAGTGGAAAAAAATTAGCATTTCACAAGCAAACAGTTAACAGTTTTTTAACAGAAAACTGTTAAACTTAGCATCTACTGCGTGAGAATGAGAGGTAATGGAACTACATTGGCTTTTGGATAGGGAAACCTTTACGCACAGACATCAATTAGCCTATAAATAATTAATTTTGTTTGTTAAGCGCAAATATTCGTTTCAAAACTATTTCTAAATTCAGATCTAATTTCCAGCAAACGAATAAATGAACAATAATAACAAAATGAGTTTAAAAACCTGAGTTTTATCCTATAACACATGCTGTGCCCCATATGGTCTAAAACCTGACAGGTGGGCAAATCTAAGCTTGTTTTTGATAAAACAAATATAAATATGGATATAATAAGTATTACTGCTAATAATAAATAACAAAGTGAGCGGCAGTCGTCTGGAAGGTCCATTTGCGAGGCACCCTCCCAATAGATATTAGATGAGACGAAATGGTCAAGCATAAACCCCAAATATAAAACTCATTAATATTTCAAGTGATTTTACAAGAGAGAAGTTAAAGGCCAAGTCTTTGGATTCTTAATTGTGTTCTGTGTGGTCATGTTCCATGATTATCAGATTCAGGTGACGCGGTGGCGCAGTAGGTAGTGCTGTCGCCTCACAGCAAGAAGGTCGCTGGTTCGAGCCTCGTCTGCAGGCCCGGATTGGCTAATCGGGAGGACCGGGAAAATTCCCGGTGGGCCGGTCTGTTTTTTGGCCGCGAGGGCCGGTGTCCCTAGCTCCAGAATCTGTTGCTCTCAACAGTCACACTTTTTTAATTAATTTATTTATTTACTTGACCAAAGCCTTCTTATTCATTATTTTTCCGCAGCTCTGCTCTTTTATCTATGTTCTCGCAAATTCATGAGCAAGATGCAGCCCGCAGGTTAATGATGATATAACTCAGATGTGTCAATATTCAATGTATAGCTGTTATGGTCAAGTGGTTAGCACGTTAGATTACGGCGTAGCTGGCCTGGGTTTGATCCTCGTTTGAGTAATTTATTTTTTTTCATATTTATTGTTAAGACATATGTTACTGTTAGGGTTGTTGAACATTTGAAGTTCTAGAGCAGCTGTTTTCTCAAAAAAAAAAAAAAAAAAAAAAAGACGTGATAGTGTCATTAGAAACTGATTTGGAAATGACCTTATTTTAATATAGCCAGTCGTGAACTGAGGTGTGCCGGTCTGAGGCTTGAAACTCCAGGGCTGAAAAGGAGTCCCACTCCGGCCCTGCTCGTCTGGGTCAGTTGGCGTTTCTGTATGTAGTTTGCGTGTTCTCCCCGCATTCGCGTGGGTTGCCACCAGGTGCTCCGGTTTCCCCCACAGTCCAAAGACATGCGGTGCAGGTGAATTGGGGAGGCCTAATTGTCCATAGTGTATGAATGTGAATGAGTGTGTATGGATGTTTCCCAGAGATGGGTTGCAGCTGTACGGGCATCCACTACGTAAAAACATATGCTGGAAATGTAGCGGTTCATTCGCGGTGGTGACCCCAGATTAATAAAGGGACTAAGCCAAAAAGAAAATGAATGAATGATTACCAGATTCAAAACTTTGTAGTGCTAAAAACGAGGTTCTGCCTACCCAAAGACAAGGAAAAAAGACGGAGCTATACAAGACCTGGGTATACATCAATAAGCAAAAAACAACTGCATTCTGACAGCGAACTCCACCTGTACGGCAGGGTATATGAACTTTACATTTACATTTATTGTAAGCATTCAGTGTCCGCAGTTTATTTCGCCATATTTAACTATTTTTGCTGAAATTATTGCTGCAATCAAAAACGAATAATGTGTGTGAGTGTAGCGTGAACTTACCTGATATGAAATGAGAACTGAAGAGTCGAGCATTTTTAATCATTCAGCTCTTCTGATGGCTGTTAGCCAAAGACGCCTGCGGTTGGCATTAAAAGCAGTGTGGTGTACAGCAGCGGTTCCCAACAGGGGGGTCGCAGTTCTCAACGCGGTCTCAGCGAGCCTTATGGGGGGCCGCGTCATATTTTTAAAAATTCTTAGAAGTTGACAATAGTATTACTGAAATGAATATACAAACTAAATAAATATATATTTTTCAAAAATAAATCAAGAATCACAAACAATGAATGAACAGTACAGAAAATCCTGTGTTGATGGAGCAGAAGAAGCTGTAGAGCAGGGGTCACCAATCTCGGTCCTGGAGGGCCGGTGTCCCTGCAAGGTTTAGTTCCAACTTGCCTCAACGCACCTGCCTGGATGTTTCAAGTATACCTAGTAAGACCTTGATTAGCTTGTTCAGGTGTGTTTGATTAGGGTTGGAACAAAAATCTGCAGGACACCGGCCCTCCAGGAATAAGTTTGGTGACCACTGCTGTAGAGACTGTCCAGCAGCTGCAGCAGGCTTTACTCACACTCTAAAAAACGTTGAGTTATTTATTGAACCCAATGTTTGAGTTAAACATATTTGGTGCTTTGTTGGGTTATTTCAAACCTTTATAATGTAAATTTTTAATAATTCAACCAGAGTTAAATATTTGGTGCTTTGTTGGGTTATTTTAAACCTTTATAATGTAAATTTTTAATAATTCAACCAGTTGGGTTAAATATTTGGTGGTTTGTTGGGTTATTTTTAACTTTTATTTGATTATTTAATGACTCAACCAGTTGGGTTAAAAATTTGAATTTCAACAGTCAACTGATTTAACGGACACAAATAGCTGTATTAATATGTGTGCGTAATGTTGTGTTTGTGTTATAAACTTTATTTAAGCTATAACACAATAATATTGTTAGTTTTTATCAAATTACCTCTCCATGTTGTGTTTTTATACCCATTTCACCATCCAAGACCATCTTTTAGAAGCGTTTGGATGTGGTTAAACTGTTGTGAACACTGAGTGAAGCCTGCTGCAGCTGCTGGACAGCCTCCACAGCCGCAACCCAACACAATTTAGTTCATCAACCTTTATACATATAATTTTTATTTAAATAAATAAACTTCAGCAAAATATAAGAAGTATAAAGATATTTCTTTATAGCGATGGGCAAGACTTTTAAGGGGCTGAAAGTTGATACTAAATGTAAAATCTTTTTTGGTGTTTAAACAACAAACTGATTTTATGTTTAACACCAACACTTAATTACCACAACAAGCATCATAGGAGCAGAATATGGAGCTCTGTGTGCTGTAGAGACTGTCCAGCAGCTGCAGCATGCTTCACTCACACTCTAAAAAACTTTTGAGTTATTTATTTAACCTGGTTGAGTTAAACATATTTTGTGCTTTGTTGGGCTATTTTTAACATTTATTATGTAATTTATTAATTATTCAACCAGAGTTAAATATTTGGTGGTTTGTTGGGTTATTTTTAACCTTTATTTGATTATTTAATGACTCAACCAGTTGGGTTAAAAATTTGAATTTCAACAGTCAACTGATTTAACGGACACAAACGGCTGTATTAATATGTGTGCGTAATGTTGTGTTTGTGTTATAAACTTTATTTAAGCTATAACACAATAATATTGTTAATTTTTTATTAAATTACCTCTCCGTGTCGTGTTTTTATACCCATTTCACCATCCAAGACCATCTTTTAGAAGCGTTTGGATGTGCTTAAACTGTACATTGTGGACACTGAGTGAAGCCTGCTGCAGCTGCTGGACAGCCTCCACAGCCGCTACCCAACACAATTTAGTTCATTAACCTTTATACATATATTTTTTATTTAAATAAATAAACTTTAGCAAAATATAAGAAGTATAAAGATATTTCCTTATAGCGATGAGCAAGACTTTTGGGGGGCTGAAAGTTGATACTAAAATCTTTTTTGGTGTTTAAACAACAAACTGATTTTATGTTTAACACCAACACTTAATTACCACAACAAGCATCATAGGAGCAGAATATGGATCTCTGTGTGCTGTAGAGACTGTCCAGCAGGCTTCACTCACACTCTAAAAAATGCTGGGTTATTTATTTAACCCAATGGTTGAGTTAAACATATTTGGTGCTTTGTTGGGTTATTTTTAACATTTATTATGTAATTTATTAATAATTCAACCAGAGTTAAATATTTGGTGCTTTGTTGGGTTATTTTTAACCTTTATAATGTAAATTTTTAATAATTCAACCAGTTGGGTTGAATATTTGGTGCTTTGTTGGGTTATTTTTAACCTTTATAATGTAAATTTTTAATAATTCAACCAGTTGAGTTAAATATTTGGTGGTTTGTTGGGTTATTTTTAACCTTTATAATGTACATTTTTAATAATTCAACCAGTTGGGTTAAATATTTGGTGGTTTGTTGGGTTATTTTTAACCTTTATTTGATTATTTAATGACTCAACCAGTTGGGTTAAAAATTTGAATTTCAACAGTCAACTGATTTAACGGACACAAACGGCTGTATTAATATGTGTGCGTAATGTTGTGTTTGTGTTATAAACTTTATTTAAGCCATAACACAATAATCAGGCCCGGATTGGCTAATCGGGAGGACCGGGAGAATTCCCGGTGGGC